AGTGGCGCATTCAGAGCTTTGGTGGAACGCAAGGCCTCCTGGGGGATCAAATATGTCCCTCACTGGCCCTCTGTCACTTAGCCTTAGCAGCTAGCAGAGTAGGGAGAGGGGAGAAGAGGACCCGGGAGCTATAACGAGCAACTCCACTGGGTTCCTCTCATGTTGCATTGCCGTATTTATTATGGCAATGCTCCGATCTCACGAGAATAAACTCTAGTTCCAGGAGCTGTAGAGAAAAACAAGTATCAAGAGAGGTGAGAACGGACAACAGCTCAATTAGCCTCTCCTTCGGTGGGTCCCCGCTCAGATCTCATCTTGTACCATTACAGAGAGAACATATCTGAAGCATATCAGACTGGTCCCACCCGTACGGGCACTCCAGATCCAAAATGCCAGTAAGTTCCCTCTGTAGGCTAGAGTTCACTCACCACCAGACCATTAGGGCTTGCCTTGTAATGTCTCCACTCCTGAGTCAAAGGTAAGAAGGGAGGGGGAATATAATGTTTATTTTTTTCTTTAAACTAGAAAAAAATAATAATAATATATATATATATATATTTGCCTTATTCCCCACTCACACACAATACCTCCAAACACACACACACACTGCACCCCTTACACACACACTGTACCCCTCATACACGCTGCACTACACACACCCTATAAAATACTCTCTCTCACTCTCTAAAGCCCGTAGTCACAAATATTGCACCACAAACCCAACACAACTGTAACTGACCTATTTACAAAAAACACCCCATCGCAGTCAGCTCATTACACATACACAATTCCACAAGCAGGCTTCAAACGCATACACAATATGCTTTCCTGGCCCTTTTGTCCTCTAGTATCCCACTCATGGAGACACCAGAGACAAGTCACAAACCAACACAGTGCAAGCATGTTGATAATTATGCTTGTGTTGCACAGAACAAATACAGAACCATGGTCTTCCATGGAAGAGCATTGAACCAACATGCTCACTTTGCATATCAAATAAATATATAAATACGTTAAAAATGATGAAAAAAAAGTGTGTGTGTGTGTGTGTGTGTGTATATATATATATATACATGTGTGTGTGTGTGTAATTTCGTTCTAACTGTATTTTGATATCAAAATATATATATATATATATATAATCTCAAAATACACGTAGAACAAAATAATATATATATATATATATTTACATAAATATACATATATAGGTGTAATGGAACTTACCCTTTCAAATGATATTTGTGCCAATAATGTGCCCTGGTGCAATTCCATGCCGGATATATATAGTAAATGGAGAAAGGAGATGCACTCTTTGGTCTTTATGAAAAAATCTTTATCCTCAAATCTTGAAGACCTGAAGAGGTCGAAACGTCGATCAGACATATGTAAACGTTTTTTCAACATTAAATAAGATAGATTTTTTTCATAAAAACCGAAGAGTGCATCTCCTTTCTCCATTTACTATTTACATAAATATTTATTTTTTAGTAGCCACCTAGTCACAAACACTGGCCAAAATTGGTGTTCAAATTCATTTTTTGCATTTTTCATACACAAACAAATATTAACGCTAACTAAAAGTGGCTACTAAAAAAGACTGGACATACCTCATTTTATAATACCTTGTGTTGTCTACTATTGCAAATGGTATGCCATCATTGGCTCAGTCCTTAAGGGGTTAATGGTCCACAACAAGAGGAGAGATTTGTGCTCCAGAATTCAGAAGGAGTTGCATCCATTTTTAGTGTCTTCACTGTCTCTGCAGGATTTACAAACAAATTGACAAACTGTGCAGTAAATCGTCATGTGAAATGTCATGTTAAACTATACGCAGCACACATTCATACACAAACAAATAAAATGCGTGCTCTGATGAGCTTATACACTGAGGGTTTAGAATTCAAATTCAAATTGAATTCAATTTTTTTTTCTAATTTAAGGTCAAAATGTGGAAATTCTCTTAAAGGGACTCTAGACTCCCAGACCATTTGCTCTCAATAAATTGGACCGGATCTCATGCCCCTGTCATTTTATCACTGCGACGTAAAACATTGCCATTCTGCCGGATCATAGAGACCATTAGATTGGCACGGCAATGCGTTTTGACACACAGGTGCACTACCCTCCCAATGTTTCTCTATGGGGAAACATTTGATTGGCTGAGATTATCAATCCTGAGCTTTTTTTTTTTTTTTACCTAGAATTCTACGCCACCAAACTGCACAGTTCATTAGACGATCTTTAAGTTACTTAAAAAAAAAGAATATTTATAAAAATAAACAAGCAGACATAAAAATGGATAAATAGGGACTGTATTATTATTATTATTATGATATTTATATAACGCCATCAAATTCCGCAGTGCTTTACAATGGGCGGACGAACAGACATGTAGTTGTAACCAGACAAGTTGGACACACAGGAACAGAGGGGTTAAGGGCCCTGCTCAGTGAGTTTACATGTTAGAGGGAGTGGGGTATAGTGACACAGTAACAGAGGGATTGAGGCCCCTGCTCAGTGAGTTTACATGTTAGAGGGAGTGGCGTATAGTGACACAGTAACAGAGGGATTGGGGGCCTGATCAGTGAGTTTACATGTTAGAGGGAGTGGGGTATAGTGACAAAGTAACAGAGGGATCGAGGGCCCTGCTCAGTGAGTTTACATGTTAGAGGGAGTGGGGTATAGTGACACAGTAACAGAGGGATTGAGGGCTCTGCTCAGTGAGTTTACATGTTAGAGGGAGTGGGGTATAGTGACACAGTAACAGAGGGATTGAGGGCTCTGCTCAGTGAGTTTACATGTTAGAGGGAGTGGGGTATAGTGACACAGTAACAGAGGGATTGGGGGCCCTGCTCAGTGAGTTTACATGTTAGAGGGAGTGGGGTATAGTTACACAGTAACAGAGGGATTGAGGGCCCTGCTCAGTGAGTTTACATGTTAGAGGGAGTGGGGTATAGTGACAGTAACAGAGGGATTGAGGGTCAGTGAGGTTACATGTTAGAGGGAGTGGGGTATAGTGACACAGTAACAGAGGGGTTGAGGGCCCTGCTCAATGAGCTTACATGCTAGAGGGAGTGGGGTAAAATGACACAAAAAGGTAAGGATAGTATTAGACTAATGACAGTTGCAGAAGAGGAATCAGTCAGGAGCTATTAACAGTTTAATTGATACGCTTTTATGAAGAAGTGGGTTTTTAACGATTTTTTGAAGGAGTGGAGACTGGGTGAGCATCTAACGGAGGAGGGAAGCGAGTTCCACAGGAACGGTGCAGCCCTCGAGAAATCTTGAAGGCGAGCATCAGAGGTGGGAGTACGGACAGAAGATAGACGTAAGTCTTCAGCAGATCGTAAGGGCCTAGACGGGACATACTTGTGTATAAGGGAGGATAGATAGGTGGGAGCAGCATTATGTAGAGATTTGAAAGCAAGAACCAGAATTTTAAATTGAGCTCTATATCTTACAGGAAGCCAATGTAGGGATTGACAGAAGGGTGAGGCATGGGAGGTGCGGGCGGACAGGAAGATGAGCCTCGCCGCTGCATTCATTATGGACTGTAACGCCGCAAGTTGGGTGCACTTAAGACCACTGAGAAGCGGATTACAGTAGTCAAGGTGAGAAAAGACAGTGGAATGGACCAACACCTTAGTCGCATCTAGCGTTAAATAGTGGCAGATGCGTGCAATGTTTTTGAGATGGAAATGACAGGATTTGGCGATAGATTGAACATGAGGCTTGAAGGAGAGGTCGGAGTCAAAGAGAACACCTAGGCAGTGAGCCTGCGTGGTGGAGCTGATGGTAGCACCGTTGACTTGGAGGGAGACAGACACAGGAGTAACAATACTTGAGGGAGGAAAGACCAGAATTTCAGTTTTGGTCAAGTTTAGTTTAAGGAAGTGGGCAGCCATCCAGTTAGAAACAGCAGAGAGGCAGTCAGAGACACTAGTGAAGAGGGACGGGGAGAGATCAGGAGAGGACAACTGTACCCTGCATTTTGCTGTGCATTAGCACACATGCACACCCCTTGCACATTCCTGTATCTTGATATATGTGTATTGCACAAGAAAGCCACAACTCTATTTCTATATTGTTTCTACTTTCGGAGAGAAGTTTAGATATCCCAACATTACTAGCAGACACAGATACAAGAATAAAATCCTATCTTCTGTAAAAAAGAAACAGTGGGGGGGCAGGTGGAGCAAGGTAGGACTGGTCAGGACTGGGTGTAATGAATGGTGGGGTGGCAGGGGCGCAAGGTAGGACTGGTCAGGACTGGGTGGTAATGAATGGTGGGGTAGGAGCAAGGTAGGACTGGTCAGGACTGGGTGTAATGAATGGTGAGGGGCAGGGGAGCAAGGCAGGACTGGACCTGGTGGACTGGGTTTAATGAATGGTGGGGGCAGGGGAGCAAGCAGAAAGGACTGGTCAGGACTGGGTGTAATGAATGGTGGGGGGCAAGGGAGCAAGGTAGGACTGGTCAGGACCGGGTGTAATGAATGGTGGGGGGCAGGGGAGCAAGCAGTGTGGACCGGTCAGGACTGGGTGCGTAATGAATGGTGAGGGGCAGGGGAGCAAGGTAGGACTGGTCAGGACTGGGTGTAATTTAGAATGGTGGTGGGGGGGCAGGGGGAGCAAGGCAGGGACTGGTCAGGACTGGGTGTAATGAATGGTGAGGCAGGGGAGCAAGGTAGGACTGGTCTCAGGACTGGGTGTAATGAATGGTGGGGGGGCAGGGAGCAAGGTAGGACTGGTCGTGGACTGGGTGTAATGTGAATGGTGAGGGGCAGGGGAAGGGCAAGGTAGGACTGGTCAGGACTGGGTGTAATGAATGGTGAGGGGCAGGGGGAGCAAGGTAGGTCTGGTCAGGAATCCTAATCAGGACTGTGTGTAAAATGATTGATCAGGACTGTGTGTAAGGGGTGGGGGAGGCAGGGGAGCAGGATTTGGAAGCTGGGAGGGAGGGGCACACTGCAGTGCTACAGTAACAGTATTAGCCAGACACACAGGACAGTGAGGAAGCCAGCATTGTGTGGGAGAGGCTGGGAGAGAAGGAGCTATTAAAGGGGGAGGTAGGACTGGCTGATGTCACAGCCCTGAATACTGCACTGGGAGTCAGACTCACTGCATCAGCTGCATCATGTCTGTCAGGGAGGTCCAGGCTGCAGGTAAGATGCTACAAACACCATCACTACTGAGGGACTGCAGGGCAAAACTCTGCTTTTAACTCCTGGGTCGTCTCCACTTACTCAGTTAACCATCTGATTGCTGAGTGCCTGGCATGGCACCATGTGAATGCCAGAAGGCAGTCTATGTTTGTTACACTGGATCATTGTAGTAACTCATCCTAATTCTGCATCTTGGGTTAATGGGACCAATGTGTTTTATCATACAGAATGTGGGGTTTGGGATATTACCCCATAGTGTCAGTGGGTTTGGGATATTACCCCATAGTGTCAGTGGGTGTGAGATATTACCCCATAGTGTCAGTGGGTTTAGGATATTACCCCATAGTGTCAGTGGGTGTGAGATATTACCCCATAGTGTCAGTGGGTTTGGGATATTACCCCATAGTGTCAGTGGGTTTAGGATATTACCCCATAGTGTCAGTGGGTTTGGGATATTACCCCATAGTGTGATGGGGTTTGGGATTTTAGCCCATAGTATGAGTGGGTGTGAGATATTACCCCATAGTTATTGTGGGTTTGGGATATTACCCCATAATGTGAGTGGGTTTGGGATATTACCCCATAGTTAGTGTGGATTTGGGATATTACCCCATAGTGTAAGTGGGTTTGGGATATTAGCCCGTAATATGAGGGGGTTTGGGATATTACCCCATAGTTAGTGTGGGTTTGGGATATTACCCCATAGTTAGTGTGGGTTTGGGATACTACCCCATAGTGTCAGTGGGTTTGGGATATTACCCCATAGTATCAGTGGGTGTGAGATATTACCCCATAGTGTCAGTGGGTTTGGGATATTACCCTATAGTGTGAGTGGGTTTGGGATTTTAGCCCATAGTATGAGTGGGTGTGAGATATTACCCCATAGTCATTGTGGGTTTGGGATATTACCCCATAATGTGAGTGGGTTTGGGATATTACCCCATAGTTAGTGTGGGTTTGGGATATTACCCCATAGTGTAAGTGGGTTTGGGATATTAGCCCGTAATATGAGGGGGTTTGGGGTATTACCCCATAGTATGAGTGGGTTTGGGATATTACCCCATAGTGTGAGTGGGTTTGGGATGTTACCCCATAGTGTCAGTGGGTTTGATATATTACCCCATAGTGTGAGGGGGTTTGGGATATTACCCCATGGTGTGAGTGGGTTTGGGATATTACCACATAGTGTCAGTGGGTTTGGGATATTACCCCATAGTGTGAGTGGGTTTGGGATATTACCCCATAGTGTGAGGGGGTTTGGGATATTACCCCATAGTGTCAGTGGGTTTGATATATTACCCCATAGTGTGAGTGGGTTTGGGATATTACACCATAGTGTGAGTGGGTTTGGGATATTACCCCATAGTGTGAGTGGGTTTGGGATATTACCCCATAGTGTGAGTGGGTTTGGGATATTACCCCATAGTGTGAGTGGGTTTGGGATATTAGCCCATAGTGTCAGTGGGTTTGATATATTACCCCATAGTGTCAGTGGGTTTGATATATTACCCCATAGTGTGAGGGGGTTTGGGATATTACCCCATAGTGTGAGTGGGTTTGGGATATTACCCCATAGTGTGAGTGGGTTTGGGATATTACCCATAGTGTCAGTATATATTACCCCATAGTGTGAGTGGGTTTGGGATATTACCCCATAGTGTGAGTGGGTTTGGGATATTACCCCGTAGTGTGAGTGGGTTTGGGATATTACCCCATAGTGTGAGTGGGTTTGATATATTACCCCATAGTGTCAGTGGGTTTGGGATATTACCCCATAGTGTGAGTGGGTTTGGGATATTACCCCATAGTGTGAGGGGGTTTGGGATATTACCCCGTAGTGTGAGGGGGTTTGGGATATTACCCCATAGTGTGAGTGGGTTTGATATATTACCCCATAGTGTCAGTGGGTTTGGGATATTACCCCATAGTGTGAGGGGGTTTGGGATATTACCCTACAGTGTGAGTGGATTGGGGGTTTTATTATGTAGTATGTGTAGGACTGCGGTATTACTCCACATTGTGAGTGGATTTGAGGTATACTCCTGCAGAGTGAGTGGGGTTGAGGTATACTCCTGCAGAGTCAGTGGGGTTGAGGTATACTCCCGCAGAGTCAGTGGGGTTGAGGTATACTCCTGCAGAGTGAGTGGGGTTGAGGTATACTCCTGCAGAGTGAGTGGGGTTGAGGTATACTCCTGCAGAGTGAGTGGGGTTGAGGTATACTCCTGCAGAGTCAGTGGGGTTGAGGTATACTCCTGCAGAGTGAGTGGGGTTGAGGTATGGCGCTATAACATTTGTTGGTTTGGGATATTACCTGACAGCATTGTTACTGTGCAGGTTGCATTGACAGTTAATAGCAAACAAGTATGTCCCTAACAATATACAAAAGATTCAATAATGTAATAAGCAATAATACTTAGCTTATAAAGACGTGTTTATCTTTGTACTGTGTATTGATACATAGTTATTATTTTAATTGTGATTCCTGAGGAAGTTCATACAGAACGAAACACGTAGGACTTTTTCTCTGTAATCCATATCCTATGCTGAATTGGTGACTAGATTTTTATATTGAAACCTGACCTGTGGATGACTTTTGGTGGAACAAGGATCCAGAGGTGATAAGAAATACCAGCTAGCCCCCATCACATCCGGGGAGGCACCCTAAGAGCGCTTATACCGTTCATATCTTGTGAGTGAAAAAGATAACTGCGCACAGTATACTGTGTTCCATAACAATATCACACTATGTTTTGTTTTATGTTTCTCCTGTAGATTTATACAGCCATATCCCGAATCTTCTTTGTTTTGGTTTACCATGCATTGACAGTTAGGCTGTGTATTATACAGTGCAGGTCGCAGTGACAGTCTGTATTATACAGTGCAGGTCGCAGTGACAGTCTCTGTATTATGCAGTGCAGGTCGCAGTGACAGTCTGTGTATTATGCAGTGCTGGTTGCAGTGACAGTCTCTGTATTATGCAGTGCAGGTCGCAGTGACAGTCTGTGTATTATTCAGTGCTGGTTGCAGTGACAGTCTCTGTATTATGCAGTGCAGGTCGCAGTGACAGTCTATGTATTATGCAGTGCTGGTTGCAGTGACAGTCTGTGTATTATGCAGTGCAGGTTGCAGTGACAGTCTGTGTATTATGCAGTGCTGGGTGTAGTGACAGTCTCTGTATTATGCAGTGCAGGTCGCAGTGACAGTCTGTGTATTATGCAGTGCTGGTTGCAGTGACAGTCTCTGTATTATGCAGTGCAGGTCGCAGTGACAGTCTGTGTATTATGCAGTGCTGGTTGCAGTGACAGTCTCTGTATTATGCAGTGCAGGTCGCAGTGACAGTCTGTGTATTATTCAGTGCTGGTTGCAGTGACAGTCTCTGTATTATGCAGTGCAGGTCGCAGTGACAGTCTGTGTATTATGCAGTGCTGGTTGCAGTGACAGTCTCTGTATTAATCAGTGCAGGTTGCAGTGACAGTCTGTGTATTATGCAGTGCTGGGTGTAGTGACAGTCTCTGTATTATGCAGTGCAGGTCGCAGTGACAGTCTGTGTATTATGCAGTGCTGGTTGCAGTGACAGTCTCTGTATTATGCAGTGCAGGTCGCAGTGACAGTCTGTGTATTATGCAGTGCTGGGTGTAGTGACAGTCTCTGTATTATGCAGTGCAGGTCGCAGTGACAGTCTGTGTATTACGCAGTGCTGGGTGCAGTGACAGTCTGTGTATTATGGAGTGCAGGTTGCAGTGACAGTCCCTGTATTATGCAGTGCTGGGTGCAGTGACAGTCTGTGTTTCATGCAGTGCAGGTCGCAGTGACAATCTGTGTATCATGCAGTGCTGGGTGCAGTGACAGTCTGTGTATTATGCAGTGCAGGTTGCAGTGACAGTCTGTGTATTATGCAGTGCTGGGTGTAGTGTCAGTCTCTGTATTATGCAGTGCAGGTTGCAGTGACAGTCTGTTTATTATGCAGTGCAGGTCATAGTGACAGTCTGTATTATGCAGTGCAGGTCATATTGACAGTCTGTATTATGCAGTGCTGGGTGCAGTGACAGTCTCTGTATTATGCAGTGCAGGTCACAGTGATGGTTAGTCTGTGTATTATGCAGTGCAGATTGCAGTGGCAGTCTGTGTATTATGCAGTGCTGGGTGCAGTGACAGTCTGTGTATTATGCAGTGCTGGGTGCAGTAGTAGTGTACAGTTTCCTATTTTAATTACAATTCTTACTTTAATTCAGTGCATACACCACGAAGAGATAATACATTTTGTCCATGGGGCAAATTTAAATAACTCGCTTTTTGTAAACCAGAACTCCCAGCTCTCTGTGTGGCCGGTCCGGCGCATGCAGAATGCAGTATATATGGGACTGACAGAGGTGTGATGTTATATACATCAGTATACTGCACAGCATGGGGTGAGATCTGTACATTCTGAGAGAATCACACCCTGTTTGCTACCTGATCACTGGAGTTATGGGTGTCTCAATAGGCAGCGACAGTAACAGCACACAGCCAGCACTGCATTATGTATCCTGCACCAGGCCCAGAACATCCTGCATGCAGTGACAGTAACAGCACACAGCCAGCATTGCATTATGTATCCTGCACCAGGCCCAGAACATCCTGCATGCAGCGACAGTAACAGCACACAGCCAGCACTGCATTATGTATCCTGCACCAGGCCCAGAACATCCTGCATACAGTGACAGTAACAGCACACAACCAGCACTGCATTATGTATCCTGCACCAGGCCCAGAACATCCTGCATGCAGTGACAGTAACAGCACGCAGCCAGCACTGCATTATGTATCCTGCACCAGGCCCAGAACATCCTGCATGCAGTGACAGTAACAGCACGCAGCCAGTACTGCATTATGTATCCTGCACCAGGCCCAGAACATCCTGCATGCAGTGACAGTAACAGCACGCAGCCAGCACTGCATTATATATCCTGCACCAGGCCCAGAACATCCTGCATGGAGTGACAGTAACAGCACGCAGCCAGCACTGCATTATGTATCCTGCACCAGGCCCAGAACATCCTGCATGCAGTGACCATAACAGCACACTGCATGCACTGCATTATGTATCCTGCACCAGGCCCAGAACATCCTGCATGCAGTGACAGTAACAGCACGCAGCCAGCACTGCATTATGTATCCTGCACAGGCCCAGAACATCCTGCATGCAGTGACAGTAACAGCACGCAGCCAGCACTGCATTATGTATCCTGCACCAGGCCCAGAACATCCTGCATGCAGTGACAGTAACAGCACGCAGCCAGCACTGCATTATGTATCCTGCACCAGGCCCAGAACATCCTGCATGCAGTGACAGTAACAGCACGCAGCCAGCACTGCATTATGTATCCTGCACCAGGCCCAGAACATCCTGCATGCAGTGACAGTAACAGCACGCAGCAGCACTGCATTATGTATCCTGCACCAGGCCCAGAACATCCTGCATGCAGTGACAGTAACAGCACGCAGCCAGCACTGCATTATGTATCCTGCACCAGGCCCAGAACATCCTGCATGCAGTGACAGTAACAGCACGCAGCCAGCACTGCAGTAGTAATCACTGAACGTGTCTCAGCCATTGCAATGACACATCACTGGGTTAAAGGTAGATAGAAGTAATTGACATTGTTCTCCAGGATCTGATGTAGCCAGCTACCATTAATGTCATTTGAAGATGTACTTTAATTTCCAGTACAGCCCCGGGAGAATCGCAGCAAACTGCTCAAAAATCCATATTGTGCTGGGAGCCTCTCTTCACGTTTACTTACATTGTATCAGACATTCTGAGATCCATATGTGTCTGTCTGAATGTTAATATTCATTCCTAAAGAGAAACACGTGGTATCACACACACTCTCACTCTCACACACAGACACACACACACACACACACACATAGCAAGAGGGCGTCCAGTATCAGTAAGCCGACCAAAATTGTCCTAGTCACTCAGAAGTGCCTCTAGTGGCTGTCTCAGAAACTGCAATAATTACCATTGCAGGGTTAAAGGGACAGGGACATTGCACCCAGACCACATGAATGAGCGGAAGTGATCTGGGTGCCTACAATATCCCTTTAACATTAGCCTTTCTATAACTCCTGGTCCAGACTGGCTACTGATACAACTAAATGTGGTCTTACACCTTTGGGAATAAAGTGTATTGTCTCTATATTTGCAGCAATTTGAGCATGCACCATAACCACTTCAAATCACTGAAGTGGTCATGGTGAAGGGCCCAGAGGGTAGGACAATATTTTGAGTCTTGGTTACCCATGAGTTTCCTCCAGAGGGTTGTGTTCCGCATCTGATCGTTGCCATCACACTAAAGGAGGGAGTGGCTACTCCTTACCTCCAGAGCCTCTCCTTCCATGCAGTCCTAAATACAGCGGCCGGGTCCAGCGTTAGGAAGGATGCCGGCCTGCTGCAAGGCGGCGCTATATAGTAACGCCACCCACAATAACGTCAATGGTGATGTGAGCCTCACGTTTTCGCCCTGCATGCACGTTCTGGGGTCATGTGACCAAAATCAGCCAATAGCAGGGTTTACTGGGTTTTAAACCCAAACCTGCAGTTGTTCAGTGCCCTGTCGTGGTTTCCATCCTGTCGGTTATCCGAGAGTGCGTTCCTGATTCTGTTTGTTTTTTGATCTTGGCTTGACTTCATGTATTTCTGGTATCCATGACCCTTTGGCTTTGTTCTTACCGTATGTGTTCCTTTCTGTATTCCTGACCTCGGCTTGTGACGGTTTATTCTCTAATGTTAATTGCGGCCATTCTAAGGCCCGGTAATACGTTGTTACTGTTTGTCTTTGTTATGTGTTTTACTTAATTTTGTATTGGGTCACAGGTTTGTCCTGACACTAATCTTATTGATTTTTTTTTTTTTGATTGGGTAACTAAAATGATAGATCAGGGTGGTGCAGTAGACATTGCTTACCTAGATTTCAGTAAGGCTTTTGACACTGTTGCACATAGAAGGCTTATCAATAAACTGCAATCTTTAAGTTTGGATTCCAATATTGTTGAATGGGTAAGGCAGTGGCTGAGTAACAGGCAACAGAGGGTTGTAGTTAATGGAATATATTCGAAGCTTGGACTTGTCACCAGTGGGGTACCTCAGGGATCTGTACTTGGACCCATTCTCTTTAATATTTTTATTAGTGATATTGCAGAAGGTCTTGATGGTAAGGTATGTCTTTTTGCTGATGATACTAAGATATGTAACAGGGTTGTTGTTCCAGGAGGGATAAGCCAAATGACAAATGATTTAGGTAAACTAGAAAAATGGTCAGAATTGTGGCAACTGACATTTAATGTGGATAAGTGCAAGATAATGCATCTTGGACGTAAAAACCCAAGGGCAGAGTACAGAATATTTGATAGAGTCCTAACCTCAACATATGAGGAAAGGGATTTAGGGGTGATTATTTCTGATGACTTAAAGGTAGGCAGACAATGTAATAGAGCAGCAGGAAATGCTAGCAGAATGCTTGGTTGTATAGGGAGAGGTATTAGCAGTAGAAAGAGGGAAGTGCTCATGCCATTGTACAGAACACTGGTGAGACCTCACTTGGAGTATTGTACACAGTACTGGAGACCGTATCTTCAGAAGGATATTGATACCTTAGAGAGGGTTCAGAGAAGGGCTACTAAACTGGTTCATGGATTGCAGGGATAAAACTTACCAGGAAAGGTTAAAGGATCTTAACATGTATAGCTTGGAGGAAAGACGAGACAGGGGGGATATGATAGAAACATTTAAATACATAAAAGGAATCAACACAGTAAAGGAGGAGACTATATTTAAAAGAAGAAAAACTACCACAACAAGAGGACATTAGAGGAGCAAAGGTTTAAAAATAATATCCGGAAGTATTACTTTACTGAGAGAGTAGTGAATGCATGGAATAGCCTTCCGGCTGAAGTGGTAGAGTTTAACACAGTAAAGGAGTTGTAGCGGAGCGACAATAATAAATCCCACGATCTCCGCTGGTTCAGAAGGTAATCCACAGTCAAGCGCTGAAAAGTAAGGCAATATCCCAAATCTCCCAGTAACCGGACGAAACACAGTTCTGAGAGTCAACTGAAGGCTTTATCCACAGGCTCCACAATTTATACAAGTCCCCACTGGAATGTACCGTTAAGTGGATTATCCCTCCGTGCAGCAGAACCGGCAATTTACTTTAAAATATACAGTTTTTTGAATATTGGGTCTATTTGCACGAATGGACGTTCGGTAGATAGCTGAGGTCTGAGCGCATCATTTGTGAGATTACCACTCAGATCCCAGCTAAAACAACCGAACGCCGCACGAAAAACATATTCATCAAAACACACATTTAAAAGACCGATTGATATATGGGGAATAAAATACTGAACGGCCCGGAACTCCCGAACGGCCTGGAAGTCCAGCGGTGTTCGCGCCGTCGAGTAGCCGTTTTTAGTACCACGCGCTCGACGACCAAACACTGCTGGAGGAACAAAGGATCCAAGATGGCCGACCGCCGCATGGTCGGTAGTCGAACGACGGCCACCTAGGAGAGCCTCTAATTACCGATTGCAACATTGTCGCAATCGGTTAACGAGCGCCACACATCTTTCAATGTGTGGGCTATACATGTGGGTCTTATTCGGTTCACGAATGGCCCGCAAAGGCGCTGTTCGTGAAACGAAAGGAAATCTGCTATCTGCTATCTGCTTTCGGCAGATAGCCAATGCAAGCAATACAGTGTTAAGCAATCACAGTCTATACACACAGAAACATACGCATCCTCAAAACAGCACAGGCAACCCTTAAAGCTATAGTCCTTATGTAATGTCCAATGCACTCAGACCACTTCAGCTCAATAAAGTGGTCTGGATGCCAGGTCCATCTAGGATTAACCCTGCAGATGTAAACAAAGCAGTTTCAGAGAAACTGCCATGTTTACTTTAGGGTTAATCCAGCCTCTAGTGGCTGTCTCATTGACAGCCGCTAGAGGCGCTACTCACTGTGATTTTTACAGTGAGAAGACGACAGCGTCCATAGGAAAGCATTGAGTAATGCTTTCCTATGGACTGGCTGAATGCGCGCATGGCTCTTGCCGCGCATGCGCATTCAGCCGATGACGTCGGAAGGAGGAGAAGAGTCCCCAGCGCCAAGGGGGCCCGACGCTGGAGAAAGGTAAGTGTTTAACCCCCTTCCTCCCCATAGAGCCCGGCGGGAGTGGGACCATGAGGGTGGGGGCACTATAGTGCCAGGAAAACATACTTGTTTTCCTGGCACTATAGTGCCCTGAGGGTGCCCCCACCCTCAGGGACCCCCTTCCGCCGGGCTCTGTAAAGGGCAAAAGGGGTTAAACTTTCCTTTTTCCAGCGCTGGGTGGGGAGCTCTCCTCCTCCTCTGTTCCTCCTACTGGGCTGAATGCGCACGCGCGGCAAAAGCTGCGCGCGCATTCAGCCGGTCACATAGGAAAGCATTCATAATGCTTTCCTATGGACGCTTGCGTGAAAATCACAGTGAGAAGCACGCAAGCGCCTCTAGTGGCTGTCAATGAGACAGCCACTAGAGGATTAGGGGGAAGGCTTAACCCATTCATAAACATAGCGGTTTCTCTGAAACTGCTATGTTTATGAAAAAATGGGTTAACCCTAGCTGGACCTGGCACCCAGACCACTTCATTAAGCTGAAGTGGTCTGGGTGCCTAGAGTGGTCCTTTAAGCATGTGTGGGATATGCATAAGGCTATCCTAGATATAAGATAAGACCAGGGACTAATGAAAGTATTTAGAAAATTGGGCAGACTAGATGGGCCGAATGGTTCTTATCTGCCGTCACAGTCTATGTTTCTATGAGTCCAGAGGTCACCCAGTTCTTGGCCATCTCAACCTTTGAGGCTTCCAAGATCGATAAATGACAGTAAATATTATACATTTAGTCACAAAACGCGATATTGTGTGTTTTATAATTCATTAGGACCTTTACTCGTACTATAGTTATTATGAGAAATGTTTGTGGTATATAGAGCTAAATTCAATAACAAACACATTTGTGTATATATATATATATATATATAGAGAGAGAGAGAGAGAGAGAGAGAGAGAGAGAGAGAGAGAGAAATGAAAAGAAAACCAAAACAAAAAAAAAACAACTTCTGGACATTCTCTTTAACCCCTTAAGGACCAAACTTCTGGAATAAAAAGGAATTATGACATGTTACACGTCATGTGTCCTTAAGGGGTTAATACAATTTGTATCAAATGTGTACATTTTGATAATGTCTAAGGATGTTTTCACTAAGCATTAAATTGCAGTAAATTAAAAACAGAATTGCAAAAATTAGGCTTAATTAGCCGAGCAATTATTTCTGGTCAAAAATCAGTATTCAGGTTTTTTAATTAATCCTCGATTAAGGTGAGTGCAGCATAATGCCACAGAATGGATTGATCATTTCTGTACTGCATTTCACAAGGTTATCCAGATCAGCACATGGTATGAATGACCTTGGGCCACAAGAAGATTTATTTATCTCAAGGTCATTAGTGACAAGAGCACTTAGCAGCAAGCAGAGTTTGTTCTGGTAAACTGAACGGCCAAATCAGAGCTTTGTCCAACCACTTACATCAAGAGGATCCAGTGTCGGGGAAGGAATAAAATAATTGCATTGTTTGTCCCGGTGATATTAGCGAAATCTAACTCCAAACCTAGAAAGATGTAAAAACAATCTAAAGATTTGTAAGCACTAAAAACCCGGAAATAAATATAGCATTCGTGCACTTCAGAGACATCCTGAAATGACTGACAATGAATGAAAACAAACAGAAACAAAGTCTTTAGACCACTCATCTCAGTGCTGTGGTCCTGCAGGTTAAAGGGCTCCTCTGACCCTTCTTTGATTTAATTAGAATAATGAGTAAAACTCAGATACAAACATTGAATGGATGAAGAGCATAGAATTAGACCATCGCAGAGGTGGCCATGTCTGAAGCGGGAGGTGAAGATGTGAACATTTACTTTTCTTTTTTTTCTTTTTATTGGGGGGGGGAGGGGATATAGAACTAGGGCCAGGGGCACTATAGAGATAGGAATAAAGGTTTGTATTTCAAATGCGATAGTGTTCCTTTAACATACAGCGATATTGCAAAATGCTATTGAAAGTTGCAGAAAATTCACATAACGCCGTAGCATAGCTGTGGCAGTATGTCTCTCTCTGTTAGATCTCATGATACGGTATTGGTTTAGGAAAGGCCAGTGACATCATGGGTGAGCTGAAAAGACATTGTTTTTGTGGGAGCGTCCCCCATTCTGTCCCTGACCTGGTTGCCCTATACTATGTCTGTCATGTAGACTTACCTTGACTAGAACCTGTTAGATTCCACCAGCATCTCTGTGATGATGGGTTCCTGCTGAGATTAGCAGAATTCTAAAATAACCAAAGCTGGTTCCTTGGATTTGGTGAGTAAGGCCTTGAGATGTCCCATCAGTGGCTATTTCAATTAGGGACAGATGTGATCAGGGACCACGTCCGGCTACAATCCATACTGTCAGTGCTCCGGTAAGGGATCTGATCACTAGAGGGACCTATAAGGGCTGGGTGGACACCTGCATAGTCATTAAATATTTGCTAATTTTTGGTGACATAACGTGAGTAAATTATGGATCCTTTACTGACTCCATTTTTTTCCTGAATGGCCATTTAATGCCTGCATGAACACGTGACCCTTTATTTGAGATTTAACTCTCCAGTCTCTGCTCCCAAGCCAGACCGCCTACGGTGAGATCAATACTAATAATCTCTGCTCGATCCAATGCTTCCCACAGAGAAGCTCTGAGTACACAGGAGCTGCAATCACCACCTTATAAGTGCAGCTTTAATTTGTAAAATACGCCAAAGGGGACTTGAATTTAACCCCTCAACCACTTCAACAAGTAAAGCAACTTTAGGTGACCAGAGTGTCCATATAGTCATCATATCTTCCTAATTAGAAAGCTCTAACATGAAATGCCCCTTCTTAACACATGGTCTGGGAATAGACCATACCTCTTGTATGTAACCTTTATTAATCTAGGTCAGAGAATATTTGGATCTCACTAATATTCTCAATATTTCTGTATGATTCAATAAATGGACCTATTTACCAGAAGTCAGTCGTAACCATGTCCAACATTGGCACATTCAACATCCAATCAGATCCAGTCCGAAAACACAGAATAACAATAAAACCATACACGCATTTATTAGTGGCAAACAAAATAATACATTGCAAAATGCAGGCTTTCATACTGAAGCTGTAACTACTGAGGAATATTCACAAATTAGCAGTTTGGGGTTTGGTTTTCAATTCACTGTTTGGCAAATAGTCTATATCTACATTTCTATTGAGATGAAACATATTGTACATGTAATATGTCCTATATCTAATATCTATACAATACACACATGTTATATGTCCCAGATCTAATATGTATACACTACAGACATGCAATATGTCCTGGATCTAATAAGTATACAATACACACATGTTATATGTCCTGGATCTAATATGCATATAATACACGCATGTTATATGCCCTGGATCTAATAAGTATGCAATACACACATGTAATATGTCCTGGATCTAATAAGTATACAATACACACGTTATATGTCCTGGATCTAATATGCATACAATACACGCATGTTATATGTCCTGGATCTAATATGTATACAATACACGCATGTTATATGTCCTGGATCTAATATGTATACAATACACACATGTAATATGTCCCGGATCTAGTATGTATACTTTACACACATGTAATTTGTTCCAGATCTAACATGTATACAATACACACATGTAATATGTCCTGGTTCTAATATGCATACAATACACGCATGTTATATGTCCTGGATCTAATATGTATACAATACACCTATGTTATATGTCCCAGATCTAACATATATACAATACAGACATGCAAAATCTTCGACATAGCACTTTTTTATTTGAGGGTATATATTCAGTATTAAGATGAGTTACATCCTCTATGGTAATTGATTAGTGTACGTTTTTACTTGATAAAGGAAGTTGATTTTTTAAAGTTTGTTTTTAAACTGAATATCTGTTATAATAGCTGATATTACTGCAGTTCTCATTTATTTAGCTTCTGGATTTCTGGTCTGACAGGCCACCTCTGGCTACCTCCATTAATTATTGAAAATAAATAGATTGTTGAAAATGAGAATGAAAACAGATGATTTGATGCTAAATCAGCAGAGAGCCGGGCATGGAGGGGGGCGGGGGGTTCGGAATGATAAAACAGTGAGTAATGCATGCTCTGATGATTGGATCTGAAACATTGAGTTTCTCTGCTCCCCCTCATTGAATGTCACATTCTGTCTAATAATGCACTCCTACACACCTTGCTTTCTCCCAACACTCCCTGTGGGTAACCCATTTACTGAAATCATTTTCTCTTCTATACAATTGTGCACTCGGATTGTGAAAAAGAAAGTGCACCCCATGGTCCAATCTATCTTTAGAAATGTAATAATTATGAAGACGCAGCTGTTATCAAACCTTACAATCATAAAGCATTAGCCGTTAATATATAATGGACACGTTGGGGTACACTCCTGATGTTTCAGTTTAAAACGACAATTACTTTCCGTGACTTTGTTTTGAGTGAGCCTTTTAGTTCAATAAAAATACAGTAGCATCTGTTTGGTCAGTTCCATAGCTTGGTTTATTGAGAGTGAACCAATGTATTAGGATACGTTGAGACTCCAATTGGAACGGTACTGTTGAGAAGACGGTAGGACATCGATAAAGATATATTATTGGCTGTAGTATTGCTGGGCTTAACAAAATATCTCTGAAGAGGCAAAAAGAGCAAAGACCATATATCAGACTAATTTATTCTTGTACAGGTCAAGGTGGGGACAACCAAAAACCACAATATTGGTAGACTAGTCAAGGTGGGGATTCCAGACACTTCAGATGATAACCTGATAAACCCTGGTAATAAGTCATCTTTTTAAAATGGTTACTGGAGCAGGAAGAGGGGTCAATTATTGCTTGGAAGGTGACTGTGGTCAATGGTACTGGAGGAGAAGAGACGGGTGACTTAGAGGGACAGGTCAGAATTCCAAGCTAGTGACCAGTTAGCCTTGGTTCCTGGTACCCAGTTCTAATGAACCGTTACAACGTTACTGACACTGGTTTATATAGCAGGAGAAGTTAGTCAGTCTGGTGATGCTTTTACAATGAGGCTGACTTGGAACGGGTGGGTAACAGTTAGTAGTCTGATAGCTTGGCATTGATTATGAACCTTTGAGAACTATTGAGGTCTCCTTCCAGTTGTTCATGTCTTTAAAGAAGTTTATAATAGAACATAACCCATGACTCTTTCGGTAACTAAAGATAGGAGATGGTATCAATGTTTGTCCAGGCGTAACGTGTTTGAAATGAGTTTCGCTGCTGAGGTAGTAGAGCCATATACCAGATACAGTAAAAGATGATAGCGGGAAAGCTAATGGCTTATTTTAATATTCAAAGTATTTTGAGTTGTTTACAGTTTCAATGAAAGAAACATGTAGACATGCATTTACCTCCCATGGCACGGTGTGTTATTTCCCGGTGATTTTAGATGAGAGGTTACAATCTTCTCAATGCTGGGTGATTTAAGACTTCGTTATCTGTGGCGCCATTGAATGGCGTGATTGAGGTAATGATGCAAGCGTAAAGTTTAATGACGGACACCGTGTAAATGGTATATGATTTAAAGGAGATTGTACATGCAGTGCAATAGCTGGGGATTAAAAAGGCAATTGTGCGTACACTGGTCAATCTACAGCACTTATTGCACGGGTTTGGTTAATACGGGGATCTGTGTCTGCACTAATCAGCCAAGTAACCAAACCCCCATATTTATCAACTGAGACAGATACTGTGCAGGCTTCCTCTGGTACTGGATCATTCATTGTGGAAGATGATTGGCTGAATTGTGGTATGTGTTTTTCTTTTGTCATGATTCAGGTATATTGGTAAGGATTATGTGTTTATTTCCACCTGATGTATTAACTGTATGGCAGTTGGCACACATTGCACAGGTATGGAGTTTTTGGGATAGATATTTTACTTAGATTGGGGGCTATGGGTTGTATTGTTGAATTTGCATTGTGTAATGTCGATGTATTATTAGGCAGTTAAAACATTTTGTATTAATGAAGAAAGGATTGTACTATGGTCAGTGGTTTATCCTGGTTTTGTGCTGCCCTAGGCATCACAAAACTCAGACACCCCCCCATACCTCCATCACCCCACCTTCTAAACACACATACACATATACACTCAGTGTCAGACACACACATTCACTGACAGACACACATACACACACTTACTAATAGACAACATACACACTAACAGACACACACACTCACTAACAGACACACTAACACACTCACTAACAGATACACACATAGTAACACACACACTAACAGACACACACACACTCACTAACACACACACTCACATATTTATTTATTTTTTTACAAAATTCAATCCCCCCAGCCTCCCTACCTTTGGGAATGCTGGGGTCGTTTCTCGTTTTCCCTGGGGTCCAGTGGTGACTGCAGGTGGCGAGGGAGCACTAATCCTCCTGTTCAGCTCCATCGCGTGCCGCGTAGTGATGCCGGGGCTGGAATGACGTCATATTATGGCTCCGGCATCACTGCGGTGTGTGCGAGGGAGCTGAACAGGAGGATTAGTGCCGTCGCTGCCAGCCTGGGGGCCGGGGCGATTGGGTAAAGGCTTTTTTTTGCCGCCCCCCAGAAAGTGCCGCCAAAGGCAAATGCCTTGTTTGCCTTTTGGGAAATACGCCCCTGACTATGGTATGAAATGCCAATGTCAGAGGCCAACTGTATTTTGTTGTCCTTACCCTCAAGGTAAGCTAGCGGGTAAGTACAGGGCCATAATCAGGGCATGACAATTATGATGGTTGTCACGGGCCTGGCCGTCCCGGGGGGCCAAGACTGCTCTGGGGGGCCCACATTCCCTATGTGACAGATAACGAAGTCTTAAATCACCCAGCATTGAGCATTAACACACCGTGCCATGGGAGGTAAATGCATGTCTACATGTTTCTTTAATTGAAACTGTAAAGAACTCAAAATACTTTGAATATTAAAATAAGCCATTAGCTTTCCTGCTATCATCTTTTACTTTATGGAGTATCTGTTATATGGCTCTACTACCTCAGCAGCGCAACTCATTGTAACCTAAAAGATTTCGATGTTAAACACGTTACGCCTGGACATACATTGATACCATCTCCTATCTTTAGTTACCGAAAGAGTCATGGGTTATGTGCATATAGATTGTGATTATCGCTATATGTATGTGTACTGCGGGCACCTGGCTACCTGTACACGGCAGAGGGGGCCCAGTATGCACTGTCTTAACCCTTCCAGGTGATCTTCCCTCTCTAAATCTCGCGAGCTCCCCAGCCGTCAGAGCGTTCCAACAGGTTAACATGGCAACGCTCCGCGCGGCACTCAGGCCATCTCGCGAGAGTCGGAGGAGCTGCTGGAGGGTTAAGACAATTACCGGCGCGTGCTGGGCCCAACCTGCCTTGTACTATGAATGCATCTTCCCCCACCTGGACAGGTAAGAAGCAGGGGGGGGGGTAACATTAAAAATACTCAAATTATAATAATCTGGATATGCAAAAAATTTCAAAACCATCTTTATATTTCACTATTCATGTTTTAAATGGCTGTTAAATTGTGTATCTCTGTGAACTGAAGAAAAAATGAACCTCCCAATTTAACAGATATCAAAGCCCAAATCAACTATCAGAGTGTAATGGAAAAGGCAGCAATACTGATACCTGCAATAAGGTATGGGCAAATTGGTCTGATTATTATAAACAATATGGCTGATTCCTCCAAGCCAGCAATACCCTGGCATAGACATATCTACTTGGTAATATAATGATAAATCTAACTCCTAAAGTGGTTCCTTGCTGATTTAATCTTATTTAAGAAGTGCTGCTAGAATTGTCCAAAAATGCTCTTTATTCACCACAGAATGCAGCCCCTATTTTACACACACTACATCCTTACACACACACAAACACACACACACACTACATCCTTACACACACACACACACACACACACACTACATCCTTACACACACACACACACACACTACATCCTTACACACACACACACACTGCATCCTTACACACACACACACATACTCTGCAGTCACTACACACACACTACATTCTTACACAAACACACAATCTGCAGTCACTACACACAAACTCTGCAGTCACTACACATCCACTATATGCCTACACATAATCTGCATTTATTACACAAATACACACTCAGCATTCACTACAAAAACTACATTCACAATTGCTACACACACACTACAAAAACTACACAAACACACACTACATTCACTATACACACTCCACAGTCACTATACACACTCTGTAGTCACTGTGCACACACTACATTCACTATACACACTCTACAGTCACTATACACACACTCTGCGTTCACTATGCACACGACATCCTTACATACACTCTGCAGTCACTATACACACACTACATTCATTACACAAACACAATCTACAGTCACTATACACACTACAATCACAATCATTACACAAATACACACTCTGCATTAACTACATATATTACATTCACTGCACAAACACACACTCTAAAGTCACTATACACACACTGCGTAGTCACTATACACACTCTGCAGTAACTACACACACACTACAATCACAATATACACACTCTGCATTCCCCCCACACACTACATTCACTGTACACACTCTTCAGTGACTATACACATTCTGCAGTCACTATACACACACTACATGACTACACACTCTGCATTCACTATATTTAACATAAACACTATACATTCACTACACACACTATCCATTTACTACACACACTACATTCATTACACAAACACTCTGCTGTCACTATACACACTCTGAATTCACTACACACACTACATTTACTATACCCACTCTGCAGTCACAATACACGCACTACACAAACACACACCCTACACTACACAAGCACACACTACATTCACTACACAAACTCAGACACCCTCCCATACCTCTGAATTCACTATACACACAGACACTACATACATTTCACAAACCTACAATCTACATCCATTATACACACTGTATCCATGACATACACCACATTCAGAATGCACACTTCATCCTTGTGGGTGGACTCAGGATGTGCCCTGTGTGTGGACTTGGGGGCTGGCCCCCAGGGGCCCAGACTTTAAGCTGTATCAGGGGCCTCAACATTTCTGATGGGAGCCCTGAGTAAGTACACAGAGTATACTGCAATAACATGTGCTATAATTTGCCCCATGCTCTAATATTAGGTATGCCCTACTGACATCTTAAGGCCAAATTGTTGGTTAAACATAAATATTATGAACGCTGCATACAACTTATAACTGATTTCATTTTGAGGCAATTTTTTTTTTTTTACAAAGTTTCAAAATATTTTAATTTGTTAAATGAAAATATGAATACTTTGTTACTAGGCATTCAATACATGTTTGCTTATTTTAAAGGGCAACTGTATTTTTCTGGTAATTATACCATTACATAAAACATTGAAAATCGAATTTCATAGCACTATAGTTCAGCCCTGGCAAAGCAGGGGCATAATATGTAAATAAGGAGAGATAGAAACATTGTTTAATTTCTTCTCTTCTCTGTATGGGCGGAGCTTATAATAATGATTGACTGGTAGCTAAGTTGGAGGCGCCTAGGTGCACAATAAATTCTGTATTTAACATTAAGATCAGACTGGCAGGGCCTTTTATAGATTTGGATACTTGTTTCTGATTGGTTGTTTCTGTTTATGATCTGTGCTGCTTGATTTTACAGTTAAGAGAGTAATGCAAAGCATTCGCCTCCTGTCATTACTAAAATGAAGATGACAGGTACACTACGTTAACATAATCTACAATTTTCATTTTAATAGTAAGCAATGTAAAATGGACTTAAAATGACCGACCAGCCCTGTGAGATCAAGGCACATCTTTTCTTTTTCTATATATGTTTTTAATAATAGATTGGGGTATTTTTCTTTTCCCAGAGGTAGATTAATCAAGGGATGAAATTCACACTTTTTACTAGAATTCTGCAGTCTCCATTCCACGTTTTTAACATGTCCCCCAGCTCTCTGATCTGCACAAAATAGATTTCTACCATTGTCCTGCCCTGTCAGCACAGAAAATATTACTTTCCTAAATCTTGCATTCCTTAAGGGGGCCCTTCCATACAGCCTGAATAGTTTAACATACCTTCCTTAAGGCCGGAATTGTTAACCTCTTCTGTGCTGGGTTATAGACAATATTTCTAAAAAAATAACAGATACTTTATCAGAATTGGAAAAACTCTAGAGTTTTATTTCCTACCATAGACACTAAAATGCAGCTTTTTATGTTAAGGCGGAGAGTGGTAAAATAATAAAATATATTTTTGAACTTTGACAGGCTTATTCGCTAAAGTATGAATTGTAAGGATTTCAAAGTGAATTTTATCTTTTATACCAAAATAGCAGAAAGCTGACTGCAGATTCAACTATTGCCGCCTAAAGTTAGATATTCATTTTAAATTCCTGATAATTTAGACTTTAATAAATAGCTCTGTAAAAATGTTTTTTTTGCAGTTTTATACGGCTCTCCCAGTGACTCTGAATTTTTGCGATTCCTGTAACATATTGTGTATAATATATATTTTTCAAATGTGCTCCTGTTGCACATTCCAAGCAGTGAACGGATATATCTGGGTTTACTCCTCTTCCTGACAGCCCTACCAGTCTCACTGTATGTTTTACATTGAGACAATGTCCCATCTCAGACACACTTAGTAACATCCTGACCGCACGTCACTGCTCGCCATTTGCTGCGCGTCGTAGTCAGGCCGTTTCCCATGGTCTGTGAAGACAGCATTTCCTGCTTGGCAGAGGGTCTCCTATGTCAATAGCAATGCTTATTGTTATTCACCATCATCACTTCAGCCAGTTATTTGGGGATCTTGTTTACACAGATTTATTTAAAGGAGCAGTCACACAAACTATTTTATATTTAATAGTTTGTTGCTTTTTTTTTAACTTTTATATATAATAAAAAAAATAAAGCAAAACAATATGAATAAAATATGTTTAATGTAATTTAAAATTGCTAATTTGCAGAGTAATACAATAATAAAATAAATAAAGAAAACATATTCACTCACATTTACCAAACGTATAATTTCCAGTGTGAGACTGCAGTGAACGTATCAGTGCTCTGAGATATTGTGGAGTTAACGTGATACTGTAACCAACAAAACAGCTGCATCTTAATGAAGCAGTGTTTGTGCATAGATCACGCCCCTGCAGTTTCATTGATTCATTCTCTGCCATTTAGGAGTGAAATCACTATATTTATACAGCTCCCCTGGGTAAGACTCACACAGCCTTAATGAAAAAGTAAACATTTTACAGCACAGTGTGTTTACTTTACATTCAGGGCATACTTGAAAACGAGAGAAATCTCAATGTATCTTTCCTGGTAAAATATTTTATAAATAAATAAATAATCTCCTTTTTTGCAGAGACATGAACAGTGAGGCTGCTTCATTAAGATAATGTTATTTTGGTGCTTAAAGTATACCTTCAATTTTTGTTATGCATTCGTTAAAGAGGAAAACAGTACATCATCTGATATAGCGGTATTGTCATTTTTAATTAAAAAGATGTTAAAAAAATATGAATTATAAAGTTTCCCAGATAAGCATTTTTACTGGCTCATTATAATTAGGTTAGTGCTGAGATAGATGGCTCTAACCCTCTGAGTATTTATAATGTCAATAAATTATTTTACATCAATAATAGGTTGAATAACAAAAACCAATGATATAATATTATACAACATATAACATAACTAGGACAAGTTTCCTTCTCGACCGCAGAATGGCAGTCAGAAATCTCCTTGGATTAAGAAGCTATTACCCCACTAATTAAAATTTATATCCGAATATTATGTTTTTTCAAGTATTATCCAATTTAAAAATGCTGTTCAAACATTTGTATGGACTCTGATTAAACCACCTCTTTAGGCAGAGAATTCCACATCCTTATTGTTCTTCCTGTAGAAACCTTTTCTTTGACTAAATCTCCTTTCTTGCAGTCTAAATGCATGACCTCGTGCCCTATGTATAGCCCAGTTTATGAATAGATTTCCAGACGATGGTTTGTATTGGCCCCGAATATATTTGTATAATGTTATCATATCCCCTCTGAGGCGCTGTTTTTCCAAACTAAAGAAAATTGAAGATAATATAGTCGACAAAACAAGTTTAGCTTAATAAAGCAGTTTTTCTGTATATATCATGTCCGTGAATTTCCACTGCTCAATTCACTGCCTTTTAGCAGCTAAACCACTTTTGTTTCTATTTATACAGCTCTAGCCACACCTCCCTTGATGTGACTCACACTGCCTGCATTAAACAAAATGGTTTAAGTGTAACTTACTTTAAAGGTTTTTATCTCCTGCTATGTAAATTGAACAGGCTCCTGTAAGATCTAGGAAGCTATTAACAGAACAGGAGATAGGAAATTCTGAATTAAACAGAATTTGCAATAAAAGAAGTGTAAACATTAGATTACTATTTACAGGAAGTGTTTAGGATGGCTTTGTAAGTCACATGCAGGGAGGTGTGGCTAGGAATGTATAAACAAAGTGATTTACCTTTTCATTCTCAAATAGTTTGTTTTTATTTTCGTGTGACTGTTTTGTCCAAAGAAAAGATACTTGTTTCTACTTGCTCAGCTCTATTTTATGATTAACATTCCCAACAAACATGTTATGTAGAAATATATTTATTTAAATTATATGAAGACGTCACTATGAGCCATTTTAATGGCATCAGTTGGTGGCAGCAGATTTCTTTTCCAAGATTCTAGTTTTATAGACAGATACGTATAATCTAAACCTAAAACGAAAGAGAACTGAAAGAAGTTGGTTGTTTTTTTGTCTGACTATTGACCTAATGTTGACTTGAACTCAGGTGTTACCACAAGCCCAAAGACTGTTAGACATGATTTTGAGAAGTATGTTTTTTCATCTGCTTTGAAGGACCATTTGACCTTCACATTAAAAGGTATTCCAGCTCGTCAAATCATCAAGAAGAGATAAAACCACAGAACTCTTTTTAAAAGTGACAGTCTGTAGAGTTTTAAAAAATAAATAAAATACACAGATGAAAATAAAATGATAAAACTAAAATGAAACAAGCTGATAAATAATATCCATATAGAGCTCAGAGTAGAAAGATGTAAACTATAAGTATTTCGTTTAATATTTAGACAAAATGGGTTTCTTTCATACAAAAAAAAAAACCTACTACTAATGATGAAAACATAAATTAATGATAACAACAACTAAATAACTACGAACTGGAAGAAACTAACTATGCTTCAAGCCATGCGTACAAGTCCTCTGGTTACGAGAGCTGGGAATGTTACCATAACATACCGTGACATCGTGTGTGTGCATGCGCAGTGCGGTCTGCCATAGAGTATCAATGTATTTAAATCTTGTCTATGGCAGACTTTTAGGTGCATAATGATGAGCACCGCGCATGTGCCTAAGGTCCCCGATGCTCCTCTGGTGGGCATTGGATTGGATCGTCACCCTGGAGGCACATATTAAAAAGGAGGTTGCAGCGGCACCGAGAAAGACTCTGCGTTGGATAAAAGGTGAGTAGTTTGTTTGTATTTTTTTTTATATATTTGGTTTATTTTATACTACCTGGGCGGCCTAACCTAAATAGTCGCATCAGGACTGCAGCGGTAGGAAAAGAGATATTTATTCCTAATGCTACACTGATCCTTTAATGAAAAAATACGTAACCCTCAATTTAATTCTTTTGGATACGCTTTTCAAATAATCACAACCTGTTCGAAAAACCTTTCGACGTATTTATCGATAAACATTCCCAAAGATTTTCAGAGATTTCAGTGGATAAACCATATGAACAGATTTTTCCAGCAGAATGACATAATTTCTGATGCTGATTCAAACGAATGAAATCGAGGCTAGAGCGTGATCATTAAAAAAGCCTCGCTAAAAAGATTAAATCAAGGCAATAGTGCTCTGAGATAATATCCAGGTCTTATGTGACCACAAAGCCCTTTCCTACACCACGATGGAGGCTCCATTCTTACCACTCACCTGCCAGGTACACAGCGAGCTTGATATCGGTTTACTCCCAAACATCTGCTTCTGTATTTACTCCAGCGTGGTCGTGGTCCTTTCTCTCAGATCTCCTACGTGTTTGATTGTTAGTTTCAGAGGGATGGTAGCTTCAATTTCCTAGTTATTGATAGATATCCAAATGGCCTGATAGTGTATACTGCTTCCATATACAATGTATCTCTAACTCCCCGTTCTCCTCCAGCTTGACTAATGCTGGACTCTGTTGAGTTTGTTTATTCTGAAAATCTGGTTCTAGGCTGGAAGTCAGTGGTTTGCCAATTGTATCCCTATAAGAGCATTTTCTGTTACCTGTGTAAACTGAAAACATTACCGTGCAAGGTGGAACGTATGTGAGTGTATATTAATGTTAGATAAAATCCAGTCAAGGAGCACAACCACAAATGTGAAAAACATTTTTATTAGATAGGTCCACACACAATAGATATCTCACAATGCATATCAAGAAAAATCAGAACATGAATCCCATACTAATAGTATACAAAAATAGTCAGACGTTCTGTAATTACATTCAAACAGGATATTTAGTAAATAGATTCTTACCAGAACTAGTGAGAAGCGGGAAGAAAGATCAATCAGCAAGCCCCAACGTTTCGGCCAAAGAGATGCCTTTATCAAGGGAGCCTGCTAGTTCTGGTATGCATTTGTATTTCTTCTATATATTTATTGATGGCTTGTTAGGATTTGGTTTCTCTATTAATTATTTATTACATTGATATTTAAGAATCTATTTACTAAATATCCTGCTTGAATGTAATTACAGAACTTCTGACTATTTTGTATACTATTAGTATGGGATTCATGTTCTGATTTTTCTTGATATGCATTGTGAGATATCTATTTTTTGTGCACCTATCTAATAAATGATTTTTTTCACATTTGTGGTTGTGCTCCTTGACTGGATTTTATCTGTAATTTCATTTGGTCCTTAAGGAATAGGACCTTGTCTGAGTGAACACCCAGATTTATAAATATAAAAAATATTTTTGGCCTTTCTTTAATATTTTCTTTATCAATATTTGATACATTTCTAATTATAACTATCTCTGTATATTAATGTAACATTTTTCATAAAGACATTAAAAACAAACAAAAATTTTGCCATATTGAAAGTGATCTTTGGAGGGTTCAAATACAATCTAGTGAAAAATGCCAGCGTACCACGTGTAGCCTATTGAGACTAGAGATTTGCTCTGGGGTGTTTTAAATGCCCTGTATTTTATGGAAACACAGAACAGAAGGGCTAACTGTTTCTGCTGGCGGTTTCATTTCATAATAATCTATGTTCTTTTTTTATTTTTAGCCTTTCGAACCTAATTAAGATCTGTCCTACAGCTTGCATCTCAAAGACCATACTGGCAAATAGAAACCTCACAATCTCTCTTTTCTTAGTTTCTGCCTCACGGCTCCTGATATTCCATTTATTTTAAGGCTGCGTTTTGCAGAGTGTCTCACAGAACTGGCCAACCCATCTGTGAATGTAATTCAGCCTGGATTCTGGAGGGTTAGATGTCAATGTTCCATGGATCAGGTCAAGCAACGAATGAACAGAAGGTCCAAATCATTTTGATAAATATTAATGGGATGTTTTTGCTGAAAGATTGCAGAGACACAGTTTATCATTCAGAATTTTAATAAAACTTAACACAAAACAGACTAAAGCATGAAACCACTTTGTGTTGTTTGTAAATGCAGTTTGTAAAAATGTATCATCGCAGTAAATACATTTATTTAAAACTTCATGTGCACAGCCAGTTATATGCACAAACTCTAAACAGAGTACAGCTATTAATAGACTTTACATCCGGTGCCTCTTCAAAACAGAAATCCTATTATTAATATACGGTATATGTGCATCTTCACTACTCACCCAGAATGCCGTGCAGAATATGTAAATGAAGAAACATGTCCAGATTACTGTGATTTGCTATTTTATATATATAGCTTTTCAATCATAACACATACATTGTTTTCATGCTATTAGTGTGGAGGTGGAATTTAGCCTTTATAAATAAGAGATAAAATGGGCATGATTTCTAGAGAAACAGTAACTATTCTGGCCATCTGTAGCTCACGTGTAGAGGCCAGTAACGGCCTGCACTTTACACTCGCTGTGAGAACAGGCTCTGGTGTCTCACTGCGGAGAGCTGACTCAGCAGCTCAGACCTTATTCCCCTGACACAAGCTCGGGTAACCAAAGAATATAAAAAGCTTCTGTTCCTTCCAATAGGGAACAGGTTATTGTACACCACAAAGAAGCATCTGAGACACTTAATGACTAATCACCAAAAGACACAAAAAGGAATGTAAAAAGGTTAACCCTTTAAATGGTGAACAATGGACACCATATTGCACATGGGTTTCATGCCACCGTCGCAGTCGAAGGGTTAATGTTCACGTGATGTGTTGAGTAGGGACATTTGTTGTATTCGCTAATATTGAAGCATGCATATCAGAGTTATAAATGGCTTTTTCTCCGATACACATTATGGCAATTTTCCAAGAAATACTGCAATTTCTAGAATTGCGTTTGTGAAAATCCCTATTTATCCTGAATTTCTGTTGACAATAAACAAGCTTCACAGAAAGTGACACTAAAGGGACACTGCAGGCTGAATCGGACCCAGTCTTTTTTTATAGGTTATGTAAATTATCCAGAAAAAATAGTAAAAATACTTTTAAAACTAATATATTCTATATTCAGTAGACATGTTCTAATCAGAGAAGCTCACTGGCAAGGGATGGAGCCGGAGAGGAGGCACGTTGTGTCATCACCAATGACAAGTGAGAATGTTAGTTTAATGCTCTTTTAGGGCAGACCATGCACTAAGCCCTGCTAAAGAGTTCTTAAATTGGAAAAAGGCCCCGTAACCTACACAGTGCACCTAACGTGTGTGGGAGCCTGGAGTGTCCCTTTAATAATATAAACCCACCCAGTATAACTAACTGTAACCTAACCTACACAGTGCATCTAACGTGTGTGAGAGCCTGGAGTGTCCCTTTAATAATATAAACCCATCCAGTATAACGGTAACCTAACCTACACAGTGCACCTAACATGTGTAGGAGTCTGGAGTGTCCCTTTAATAGTATAAACCCACCCAGTATAACTAACTGTAACCTAACCTACACAGTGCATCTAACGTGTGTGGGAGCCTGGAGTGTCCCTTTAATAATATAAACCCACCCAGTATAACTAACTGTAACCTAACCTACACAGTGCATCTAACGTGTGTGGGAGCCTGGAGTGTCCCTTTAATAATATAAACCCACCCAGTATAACTAACTGTAACCTAACCTACACAGTGCATCTAACGTGTGTGGGAGCCTGGAGTGTCCCTTTAATAATATAAACCCACCCAGTATAACTAACTGTAACCTAACCTACACAGTGCATCTAACGTGTGTGGGTGTCTGGAGTGTCCCTTTAATAATCTAACCTACACAGTGCATCTAACGTAACCTAACCTACACAGTATAACTAACTGTAACCTAACCTACACAGTGCATCTAACGTGTGTGGGAGCCTGGAGTGTCCCTTTAATAATATAAACCCACCCAATATAACTAACTGTAACCTAACCTACACAGTGCATCTAACATGTGTGGGAGCCTGGAGTGTCCCTTTAATAATATAAACCCACCCAGTATAACTAACTGTAACCTAACCTACACAGTGCATCTAACGTGTGTGGGAGCCTGGAGTGTCCCTTTAATAATATAAACCCACCCAGTATAACTACTATAACCTAACCTACACAGTGCACCTAACGTGTGTGGGAGCCTGGAGTGTCCCTTTAATAATATAAACCCAACCAGTATAATTGTAACCTAACCTACACAGTGCATCTAACGTGTGTGGGAGCCTGGAGTGTCCCTTTAATAATATAAACCCACCCAGTATAACTGTAACCTAACCTACACAGTGCATCTAACGTGTGCGGGAGCCTGGAGTGTCCCTTTAATAATATAAACCCACCCAGTATAACGGTAACCTATCGTGTATGGGAGCCTGGAGTGTCCCTGTAATAATATAAACCCACCCAGTATAACTAACTGTAACCTAACCTACACAGTGCATCTAACGTATGTGGGAGTCTGGAGTGTCCCTTTAATAATATAAACCCACCCAGTATAACGGTAACCTATCGTGTATGGGAGCCTGGAGTGTCCCTGTAATAATATAAACCCACCCAGTATAACTAACTGTAACCTAACCTACACAGTGCATCTAACGTGTGTGGGAGCCTGGAGTGTCCCTTTAATAATATAAACCCACCTAGTATAACTAACTGTAACCTAACCTACACAGTGCATCTAACGTGTGTGGGAGCCTGGAGTGTCCCTTTAATAATATAAACCCACCCAGTATAACTAACTGTAACCTAACCTACACAGTGCATCTAACGTGTGTGGGAGCCTGGAGTGTCCCTTTAATAATATAAACCCACCCAGTATAACTGTAACCTAACCTACACAGTGCATCTAACGTGTGTGGGAGCCTGGAGTGTCCCTTTAATAATATAAGCCCACCCAGTATAATGGTAACCTATCGTGTATGGGAGCCTGGAGTGTCCCTGTAATAATATAAACCCACCCAGTATAACTAACTGTAACCTAACCTACACAGTGCATCTAACGTATGTGGGAGTCTGGAGTGTCCCTTTAATAATATAAACCCACCCAATATAACTGTAACCTAACCTACACAGTGTATCTAACGTATGTGGGAGCCTGGAGTGTCCCTTTAATAATATATATCTATGTTTCTATGTGTTGCACAAACTCTGTCAGACTCTATGTTAATATAATATCTCAAAGTGGACATTAGGTGCTGCGCCTGGCCAGACACTGATTACTTATTATCGTAGATTGATGTCCAGCCCACCAAGGCTTACAGGACTTTTCATGAAATCATGAATTGTAGGAAATTGCTCATTCCCAGTCCATAATAGCCAAACTGGAACATTCTCCAATTCAGCGATGCTCCCAGTTTGGCTATTTTATCTTTAAAGGAACACTATAGTATTAGGAATACACATGTCTACACTATTTATGGCAGAATACTTTGATAAATCTTACCGTTGGTTTCTCTGTTTTGGGATTGTGACAGTATGTGCTGTTTTATTTCAGAGAGGATCTCCACCTCGGCTTATTCCTCACCGGCCAGAAGTTTGGGTGACCCAGGAATTACCCCCCTCTCTCCGTCACACATAGCCGCGGTAAGCTGATCATTTCTCTTATTTGGAAGATTAATATAAATATAATGTCAGGCTTTTTTCTGGGCTCTCCCCATAACTTGATGTAAAATAGGCTTGTATTACTCTTGGAGGTATCCTCGTATATGCCCATCCTTTCCTCGTCCCTTTGTTGACTCTCAGAGACTGGGGGTGTTTTATATAAATATTTTTTAATGTTGCAATGTTTCTGCTAAGGTACAATAATCACTGAGTTTTGGACTTTGCATGTTTGTTGCAGTCTATGAATACATTATATCCAGATTGCCCAGTGTCCTGATTAATTATGTAGATTGCTTAGAGTATTATTTTCAACAGTTAGGATCACTCAGCAGGAATTAGCAGCAAGGTGAGAGCAGGGTTACAATCAGGTCAGTAGCCACTAAATGCTGAGTGCGTCTCCGTGCATTGTAAGATCTACCTAATACAGCTGTTTTTACACCGGTTCCTGTGATTCAATATTGACCCAAGAGTCCAAGGTGTGTAACATGTCCAGAACTCACATAAATCGGGCAGAGCCTGTGATTGGCAGAGATTTGTGGGAGTTGTAGACCTAGAGTAGATGTGGAGACAGCAATTCAGCCCCCGTCATTAGGCAGCTGCCTCCAGTCACCCATCAAGGTCGGTCACTCCATCGTTACAATTCCACCAAATCTGAGCGTGACCCTGAGATCAGCGCTAACAGTGGGAAATGCTGGTAAAGTGACATTTTTTGGGGTGAATACATTGTAAATTAATGTTATTAATCAGATATCTCTGGCATTCGGTGATCGTTACCTGGCCAGAATACCAAGGTCCTCGACTTTGGGATCCCAAACGATGTATTCATCAGTAAATCAAGACCAGAATTGCACAATTTATTTGAAAACTGCTGATTTGAAAATAAATTAACTCTCGAACCAGTCACAGATTTGCTGAAATTAACCCAGTGCCTACATTTGGCAATTTCGTTTTTATTTCAATATATTCATTGTTCAGCGGATAAACCCCCATACATTTTATGTTTTCCACAGCAACATTCTGCTAGTCCCTGGAGTTAAATGACAACAGATGTTTACCCTTTCCTATAGATTCCCAAAACATCTATATTCACAATTTATTAATTTTTTTTCTTTTAATTCTTTATTTTCATTGACAGAGGTTCCATATACACATCATAAGTAACAATAACCACAGTTTAAGTCTCTGCATGCATGGTATACAGAAAAACGTGTAACACGTTTAAAACATCAATTTACCCCGATCCATATGATAGTGCTCCTAACCGATGCACTGTACTAGGGGCGCTGCTCCTTACCGTGGTCTTTACTCAATCAATTTACCTCTTGTCTAAATTTTTCATTTTATAAAAAAATTTTTTTAAAAGACTAACAGCACTTCTTATGGTCTGGTCAGTTTAAATAGAACAGTACAAACATTGCAGGTGTGGTTCTCACTGGTTGGTATGCCCCTTTTAGCTTTCCTATGATCTGTGTCATACGACATTTGTCGTAGAGAATTGGGGATTCCGCGTCTCTTTTCCTATCCTTGGGGTCACTTTTGCCCATTTTTTCAGTTGTTGGGTTTAGATGCCTGATGTCTATGTTATTGTGAGAGATTCGCAACTCGTTAATTTACAAATTAACAGGGCAATTCACTAAACAGAGATTTCAAAGTGAATTTTCAATTCAAGGAAAAAAATTGCCGATCTGGTAAAATTCTCTAAGTCAGCTATATTCCCAGATCGGCTTCTTTGGTCTTATTTTTGAATTCTCACTTTGAATCTCCCTGTGCTTTTTAATTGACTGCTATTCCCTGATCGGTTAAAGAGGTTTTTTTTTCTCAGCTTTGTTAGTGGTTACACAGCAGCTGTGTGTAATTGATCACCCAATGGCAAGGAAAGTGTTAATTGTCCCTGTGTCCCTTCCAGAAGGACTCGGACTCCGGTACGGCTGACGAGCAGACCTTTCCTGTCGTAGTAGCCATTGACTTTGGCACCACGTCTAGTGGCTACGCCTACAGCTTCTCCAAGGAGCCAGAATGCATCCACATAATGAGGTAGGAGCGCATTGCAGCAGGCACAGGGGGCGGCAGTGACGGGAAGAGAGAGCATGATTTGTACCATCTGCAGGCTTCGGGAATTATTCATGTCTGTCTGCAGCGTTGGAATGAGACTTTATATTATTTTATATTACCCATTAATTGCCACAAGTCCTGCAATCCCTAGGAGCAGGATTTTACAAAGTCACTCAGCGTCTATTGATATTTAATTAGATTAATTTATGTTTTATTCTGCAAGTTAGGAATAGACGTGTGCTTTAAACGCACTCTACCCTATGTGACAAGAGCTTCCAGCAGTCGAGGGGTTAATAATAGTAGATGCAGAGAGGGGCAGTAGTGTAATAAGGGATCGGTGATGTGTATGTTTCATTAACATTTTGAATGTCACAGTGGTGGCATTTATAGTAATCTGTCATACTAATCATGGTTATGCTATGTACAGGGGAAGCTTTGTCCTCTGCCCAGTAAATTGGCCTAAATTCAGACAAATTGCAATTGCTCTAAACTCGCTCACACATCATGCCCCATTCTCAGGTGGTGTTGTGACAAATATATCGCCCATTTCACCTCTATTGATATAATCAGTCAATGCCGCTATATTTATAAGGAAGTGAATGTTAGAGGGGCCCATCCCCCTTAACATTGCGGCATTGAATAAACTAATCATCTTCATTACTTCATATTAAAATAATTCTTCAAATATCATCTTTAAAATTCAGTATTTTTATTCTCCAACATATGGGGAAATATAAGCGTTTATGCATCTTAGAATATGTCAGGAGTCGTGTTCTATGGCAGGAACCCTTAGATTGGTTCTTGGAGTGTGAGGAGGGGCCTCAGTACATGGCTTGTTTTATAACTATAGATTGTAAGCTCACAGGCCATCTAACTAGGCTCTCTGTATAAGAAAAGCTTCAAGACTCAGTGGCTAGATCTCCGCTCACGGAAGTGCTCTCTTTAACCTTCATATTTATCTGTGCATATTGTAAAATGTCTTGTCCTCTAATAATGAATCGTATGCATGAAACTTAATGTAGAATAACAGGCATTTGGCAAATCTCATTATATCAGTACTGGATCTAAACTCAGGATTTATTTTTAAGGAATAATATAAAATATTGCATACTGTAAGTGTCGTTTCCCACACTACATAGGCCTTGACTTTTTTAAATTTTATTTCTTTTAAAAGCTTTTTAAGCTATTTAATCTTTTGAAAAATACTTTAATATTTAGACTTTTTTATATATGATAGAATTTTTGATATTTTAATATTTGAAAAAAACAACACATTTTGGAAGTTTATCCAGAATTATTAACTTATTTGAAAAGCGTATCCAAATATATAAAATGAAGCCAATGTTTGTATTAATGGCTTGTTTCCTTTATGCGGAGATTATAATAAATATGGCCCACGACAGCAGGATGTCTTGCAATAAAATAAATACTGCAGATAGTGTACATGTAATCATGCCCAGTTGGGATGAATAATCTGTCTGCAGAGGAAGGAGAGAGGAACAAGTTAGAATGTCAGATCCACAGCTCTTAGGCGATCAATTAAAAGCCAGCGAATAGATATTTATGGTCATTTTATGGTTAGTTCTTTGGGGACAATTATCCATTAGCTGCATTAAAATACTGATTTTGTAAGTTACAGGAACATAGATCGCTGCCTTTATCACATAGATTATTATATACTGAGCAGTTAACAGAACATGCTCTCGTCCCACCAGCATGTTCTATTACCCTGGACTGGCCACACCTCAGTAGATTTTTTCTGCTTTTTTGTAATTTTCGATTGAGGAGATTTATTTGATATATTTAATATATTTGTTGGATGATCAGAGTAAAATCTTGCTTCCAGATTACGAAGGCTGTTAGGAGACTTAGCAATTTTACAGACAGATACAGGTATTTGGAAAAAGAAATGCTTTACAGAAAACCAAGATTTCGTAATTTATAAATAAGATAGACGACGTTCATATGGTTATATCCTGGTTAGAAGTGGCCGACAAGTGGCTTTTCCGTCCGGTGCCAGAGAGCCACAGTCACCTTTTGCAATAAAGTCCATATAAATAATTGGCTCTTTTCCTTTTCTGCAGGCGCTGGGAAGGAGGAGACCCTGGGGTGTCCAACCAGAAGACCCCAACCACCATTCTACTAATGCCAGACAGAAAGTTTCATAGTTTTGGATTTGCTGCCAGAGATTTCTACCATGATTTGGACCCCAGCGAATCCAAGCATTGGTTGTACTTTGAGAAATTTAAGATGAAGTTGCATAGCAGCACAGTAAGTCCTACACCCCATGGCCTGATATCAAATCTACCAGCTATGTCCAGACAGACAATAAGGAGAGACAGGGTCTCATAACAGAACCACAGGACACGAGTAGAAAAATCCAAATCAATTTGCACTTTCATCAATTACATGGAAACTACAAACTGGTTAAATCTATTTCACAGTATTTTTTTTATTCTATTTTATTTTATAATAAATTGATGTAGTAATTGGTGATAATGGTCCCCTGATCTAATGTGTTTTCATTTCCCTGAGCTCTGACTTGGTCCATTTCTTCATTTTGGTACCAGTCTACTTTATTTCTGCTCACTGCAGTTCCCATATTTTCTAATTTGATTCTAATTTTCTTTAAGAAAAATGGAAAATGTGCTTCTGTAAAACATCCTTTTATAATTCTGTCCTAAACGTATATAAACGTGTATGACATAGCTAGTACTCTTTAATGATTTCCTCTAATTCCACCAAGTAGGGAAACATTTGAAAACTGGCAACTGCAAAAAAACTAACAAAAAACCCAAGTAGAATCCACATATCAACAATAGTTTCACATGCTGAAAATCCACAAACTCTTATCAAAACAAATGCAATAAAAATGCAATAAGTTTCAACACGTTAAAGGGACACTCCCTGCTCCCTCCTAAACTGCAAATAAATCACTATTTAGTAGATATACAACTAATGAAAACATGAATTCATTTATTTATCATTGAGGTTAAATCTAAAAAACAGCTTGTAAAACCTGCAGTCCTATTGTCTGCAGCCTTTGCAAGCCCTCCCATTCTAACCCCGCCCAGACTTTCTGTGGCTGTCCAATCACAGACCAAATGCAGCTCAATGAGAAGTCTTTGCACGGCAGGTGCTCTGGGCAATTGTCTGGCTCTTACGTTTATCTCCACTGAGCTAACCAAACCAGGAAGTAAAAGGATTGGTTGTCTGATTGACAGCCAGAGGGGTTGTAACAAGGTAAATGTATAAATTTCTATTGAAATCTGCACTCTTCACAAATAAAGCATTTCTGCAAGCTAAAGTGCTTTAGAGGTCTGGAGTGTCCCTTTAATTATTCTGACTGTGAAATATTTAAATGCTAGTTATTTTATCTCTCATGTGACATACAGTAAAGCCACAATCATTGTTTCAGAACAAAATAAAGCACATTGTCCTGCATCTTCAATTTGGTGTAAGTTTGCTCACTACGGTTATATGGACATTTTCAGTTAAATATAATGTTTGCCTTTGACTAGGTGATGATTGTAGTTCCTGCCCATTTCTAATGCCCGTAGCATACGTCTCTGCTACCTGGTCTAGATCATCTGACTTGTTTCTAAAACCCCATGAGATATATAGGGATATGATGTCCATATGCACCGTATGTCCATTACAAATGTAGCCATGAGCTGAAGAACACTCCCATACAAACAGAAACATCTTAAATAACTCAGAAATTTGGTGTACATCCAGTCTTATTAATTGCTATCCTTTGACTTGAGCTGTCCTTTCCAAGATGAAATGATTTCGATGTAGTACTGAGAAGAATTCTCGATAGGATTACGATACAAAATGTCAAGGCTTCGTGATTGACCCATTGACTCTGGAATAAATGAATGCATTGAGTGCACATATTGTCCATGTAACTTTTTTTTTTTCCTTTTTCTCTCCTTTTAGGACCTCACTATGGAAACAGATCTCATAGCTGCAAATGGCAAAAAAGTGAAAGCTTTAGAGATATTCGCTCACGCTCTCCAATACTTTAAGGAACAAGCCCTAAAGGTGAAAGTGGAATTCTTTTTAAATTTATTTTTTTGACTACTCGCACTCAGATTAATTAGCTATTTATGACTGTTCTAGATGATCCCTTCTATTTCAGTGACACCAGACAGTTTGTGTGATAAAGCCTGGGTTCTAGATGAAGTGCTTAGAGCATCAGTGGCCAGATGCATCACTAGTAATGTGTAACTAGCTGCGCTAGGTGGTGTATTTCATCACTCTTTGGCCTATTTATGCATATGTCGGTAATATAAATATCTGTGTGGTTATGAATGTATCTAGTGTAGTAGCTAGTGTGTTCCATCCAATCGTCTTATGGCTAGAATTTAACATTGTTACTCTTGGAATTCAGGAACTAAGCGACCAGGCTGGATCAGAAATGGACAATGATGAAGTAAGATGGGTAATCACTGTTCCGGCCATCTGGAAGCAGCCAGCCAAGCAGTTCATGAGGCAAGCCGCATACAAGGTAAGATATTTAGATGGCAGTCGGCATAAGTTTGTCTTTCACAATGTCTCTTTTTTAACTGTTGAAAGTAGAGGGTTCCATGGTTCTCCTAGACAGTGATATGTAGGTGGTGGGAAATGTCTTATAGTCTGACAGATTTACAGATATCAACCCTGTCCACATATTTATGGTAAAAGCAGTAGACTTGGATACTGTTTTGGTCCAAATTAAAATTTGCGCGCATTTCGACAACTTCTGAGCTTTATGAATTTCCAAAACATTTTGAAATCCCAATCAGATCAATTCAGAAGAACCTAAGGTTTTTACTATGTACACGTCTAAAGACCAGTCTGTAATTTCCAGACTTATTATACTAACTAAATTTTACTTTGTCAAAAAAAAGAAAAAGAAAAATTGAAATGAGAAGTGAATAGTTCACACTCTACTACCAACAGGCCAAGACTTTAACCGAAACCTCTAATTTAATATTTTTGGTTACGTTCTTTTCAAATGACTTAAGAGTTTTGCATAAGCTTTGTAGTTTTTTTTTCAAAATAATAAAATATCATAAACAATAAAATCAATATATCAAAATTATTAAAATATCAAAATATTAAAATATTTTTCAAAATATTAAATCACTTTAAAAGCTTTCCCAAAAATATTAAATCGAGGAGATGGTTTTAAAAGTTTCTATTTAGTGTAAGAAAATATATTAAGTAATATTTTTATTTTATTTATTTATTTAGAAAAACTGTACTTTTTTCTTAGTGTAATGGGCTTGTTTCCCTGATAGTCATAACCAGTGAACAATCAGTATTTGATGAAATGGCAAAGTTTTGACACAATATAGATATGAGATTAACAACTGCAAACTCTCAATCCATCCGAAATAATAAATGTATTCTCTATTTAAGCTTGTTTAAGGTCTATCTAAAAGCATGGTTTGTATAGTGTACAAAGAATATCTGTGATTACTCAGGTGTATGCAAACTCTAAAGACAGCTTGCTCCGATGTTACAGATGATGTGTCCAAGCACTGCGTGAACCTGTTATTCATCTCTTATTCTTGATAGAATTTCTATAACAATAAATTGGAAATTGCAAACTATTAGAATGGTTGTAATCTGTGGAGCTTCGTCATTGGGCCAAAGTAACCAACCTACATTTTTCAGCCACGGTAACCTTCTGGCTGTTATTAATATTATTGATCGAAGAATACATTTTACTAACAATGATTAGAATCAGCCCTATGTTTGAAAGTCCCCAATGTGCACTTTTGTTCACCATAAACAAATCGTTTTCAATTTTAAGGTAATTTAATCTACTCAACTGAGAGTTATGCGTTAACAGCAGAGGATTTATATTATTTTTGCTTTAATTTATATGCCTAATAACCTTTATTTTACCCCAAAATGTTAATTGGACATAATCTGGGTACATTTTATGTGCATTGACAAATTACATTAAAAAGGCAATGTGTTCATAATAAGACTCATTGTTACGTTTGATACTTCCTTTACAGTTTATTCAGCACATTTTAGAACATGCGTGAAAGTCAAAATGAGGTAGGAAAGAAAATAAACATAACATAAAAAAGATGAAATGAAAGAACTGAAACGTAAGCGGCACTGTCATGGCCAAATCCAGTATTTTTTAACCCCCCTCCTGACTCCACTACATCTAATTGTCCCCCAAGTCACCCCAAATGCCCATATTACCTATTTTTAAATCTTCATTTTGTGCCTGGACCTAGGTTCTGGGCGCCGCCATCTTTGTGTTGGGTAGAGGAAGTCCCTGTGGGACACGTCATCGGCCCACACTAGATAGACTGTGAGATTCCCACACATGCCCAGTTAAACACTTGGGCATTCGCTATGGGAATTCCGTTTATTCATTCATTTGTCAAAAAGACGAAGGAATGGATAGAAATTTCAGGCGAACAAACAAACAGCAAATATCGGTGTTCGTTTGTTCGTTCAGTTTATTACAAGGTGGGAGCTACCGGCGCACAGCTCCCTCCTTGTAAAATGTAAAAAGAGAAGCGGCAGGGAGCAGTTCTCCCCGCCACTTCCTAAACCCCCCATGTCCCCCCTCACTCAATATGACCCCCATATTAACATAAGGGAGATTAAAATGGTGGGGCATCTATTAACTATTAACTAGCGGGGGACATAGTGTCCCTCCCTAGCCCCCACCTGTGCCCTGCGAGTGGGGGCTATGCAAATAAATGGGGGACATAGGGTCCCCCTTGGCCCTCACCCATGAGGGGGGCCCTAAATGAAAAGGGGGGGGGGAACCTATTGTTTGACTCAAACAGAGTGTTATGAGTCAAATTACACCGCGTGGGAAAATTCCAAAGAACTTTCCCACGCTGTGTAAAATGACACAGAGCACTCAGTCTGCGCAGTGCCCTCGCTGGGTGAAGATGGATTAATTTTTCAGCTGCATTTTTTTTTTCTGGTCAGATTTTTTTTCTGCAGATTTTTTTGGGCGCTGTGTTTTTTTATTTTATTTTATAAGTTCGAAGGGTATTATGGTTTTTTTATTTGGCCCTTTTTGGGTCTGGAAAAAAGTGGGGTTTTTTAAAAAAAAGAGACATCAAATGGGTAGAATTTTTTTTTTATTTATGTACAGGTATTTAGTTTTATTGTCTCTCCCCTCACTATTTTAAGGGTGAAGGGGTAGGTATGACTTATTAATTTATTTTTTTTAAGTGGGAGGGTGACTAGGGGCTTGGGGACCGGGGGACCTGGGTGGGGGCCAGGGGGAGGACAATAGGCCCCCCATTTTCATTTAGGGCCCCCACCTGCCACTCATGGGTGGTGTCCAGGGGGAGGACAATAGGTCCCCCCCCCATTTTCATTTAGGACCCCCACCCGCCGCTCATGGGTGGGGGCCAGGGGGAAGACAATAGGTACCCCCTGTAACGGCACCCCCAGGCATAAAACGGTTAAACCGCCGTTTAGTAGATCTTCCCCTTCCAGAGACACAGGCACAGCTACTGCAGAACACCAATCCACCGAACCGGAGAAGCATATGAATGCTGTAAACAGCCGAACCGGAACCATACGAATGCTGTAAGCAGCCGAATAGGAAAAACCATACGAATAGGTTTACACTCCTAGCAGTCAAACTGGAACAGCATACAATAAATCCCCCCAAGAACGAGACAAGGCTCCGTGTTGAGGGTCAAGCAGTGGTCTGTTTAATGAGGGCTACCTGCCCAGTATTTATGCAGGTCTCCCACCTGGTGGACACTACCCTAGGGGACCAAATGGGAGACTGTAACCAAGGACAGACAAGCTTCAATCTAGGACACACAGTCACATTATTTTCCCACAATGCATCCTGGCTTCCTCCCCTCTGCCTTGGAGATAATTGAGAAGTAATTTAATTATCTCCCAGGACAAAGGCAAATCGCCATTATGCACGTGGGGATACCAATATAGGAATTACTGTTAAAATCCCCCATGTTAGAAAGGTTACATATATATATTTTTAACATATCCCCAGATAGCTCAGGTCTGAGCGCACATTATTAAGCGAATGGCGCTCAGACCACACAAATACAGTCCAATCACCATGGAGCCAAAGTGTTCACAAAGTCAGTTCTCATACGAATGAGTTCCACGGGATTCCTATCTGGGGTATGGTGTAGTCAGGTACAACTACCGAATATAGGGCCGTTCGTGCACTTCTACCGAACAAGAAGGGAGGTCGGCGGCTTCAGCGGTGTTTGCACCAAAATGTATCCGTTTTCAGTTCCATGAGTTGGGCGTCGAACACCGCTGTGCGTTCGCGTGTTTAAAATGGGCGCAACCTCGTGTTCGGTATACGAATGGCGGCCACCCAGCATTCGTCAATTGGCGACACACTCCAGCTCCCAGGTGGTCCAGTCATTCATGTGTTAGTTCGGTAGATTGAATCTACCGAACACCAGGCAGAAAGGCACGAATAAGCCTTTTCTGCAGGGGAAAAAGAAGGCTTTCAACATGGGGCCATAATCCAAAGGCAACAGGCGAGCAACCAGGCTTCTCCAATGCAATGTGGCGAGATAGGTCTCGTCACACCCCCCATTGTCATTTAGGGCCCCCACCCACCACTCATGGGTGGGGGCCGGGGGGAAGAAAAATAGGTTCCCCCCACCATTTTCATTTATGGTCCCCACTCATCGCTCATGGGTCAGGGGCGGGGGGAGGACAAGTGTAATTTAGGGCCCCACGCCGCTCATGGGTGGGGGCCGGGAGGGGGGGAGGACAATAGATCCCCCTCCATTGTCATATAGGGCCATCACCTGCCGCTCATGGGTGGGGGACAGGGGGGAGGACAATAGGCCCCCCCATTTTCATTTAGGGCCCCCACCCACCGCTCATGTGTATGAATGGGGGGAGGACAATAGGTGCCCCCTCATTGTCATTTAGGGAACCCACCCACCTCTCGTGGGTGGGGGCCGGGGGGAGGACAATAGGTCCCCCCATTGTAATTTAGCCCCCCACCCGCCGCTCATGGGTGAGGGCCGGGGGGGAAGGACAATAGGTCCCCCCATTGTCATTTAGGGCCCCCCCCACCGCTCATGGGTGGGGGCTGCGGGGAGGACAATAGGTTCCCTCCACCATTTTCATTTATGGTTCCCACCCACCGCTCATGGGACAGGGCCGGGGGGGGGACAAGTGTAATTTAGGGCCCCCACGCCGCTCATGGGTGGGGGCCGGGTGGGGGTGAGGACAATAGATTGTCATTGTCATTTAGGGCCCCCACCTGCTGCTCATGGGTGGGGGTCGGGGGAAGGACAATAGGCCCCCCATTGTCATTTAGGGCCACCACCTGCAGCTCATGAGTGGGGGAAAGGGGGAAGGACAATAGGTCCCCCCCTTAGTGTCATTAAGGGAACCCACCCGCCTCTCGTGGGTGATGGTCGGGGGGGAGGATCACCCCATTTTCATTTAGGGCCCCCACCTGCTGCTCATGGGTGGAAGCCGGGGGGAGGACAATAGGACCCCCATTTTCATTTTGGGCCCCAACCCACCGCTAATGGGTGGGGGACGGGGGGAGGACAATAGGTGCCCCTCTCATGGGTTGGGGCCAGGTGGAGGACAATAGGTCCCCCATTGTCATTTAGGGCCACCACCTGCCGCTCATGGGAGGGGGACAGGGGGGAGGACAATAGGTCCCCCCTCAGTGTCATTTAGGGAACCCACCCGCCTCTCATGGCTGGGGGCCGGGGGAAGGACCGCCCCATTTTTATTTAGGGCCCCCACCTGCCGTTCATGGGTGGAGGCCAGGGGGAGGAAATAGCCCCCCACATTTTCATTTAGGGCCCCCACCCGCTGCTCATGGGTGGGGGGCTGGGGGGAGGACAATAGGTCCCCCCCTTTCATTTAGGGCCGCCATCCGCCGCTCATGGATTGTTGCAGGGAGAGAAGAACAATTGGTTCCCCCCTATGGTCATTTAGGGCCCCTGTTTTTATTCCTGGTGGGGTTCACGTGATTAATCCAACAGTGTATTCTAGCCGCAATTTGTTAGTGCCCTTTTATTACACACCAATATTGTATGATTGTAAGAACATTTGTGAAATAACTGATTGTAAGATTAGGAGTGAAATCATTGATTGGAAGACCAGGGTGAAATCAGTGATTGGAAGATCGGGGGTGAAATCATTGATTGGAAGATCGGGGGTAAAATCAGTGATTGGAAGACCGGGAGTGAAATCAGTGATTGAAAGATCGGGGGTGAAATCAGTGATTGGAAGATCGGGAGTGAAATCAGTGATTGGAAGATCGGGGGTGAAATCAGTGATTGGAAGATCGGGGGTGAAATCAGTGATTGGAAGATCGGGGGTGAAATCAGTGATTGGAAGACCAGGAGTGAAATCAGTGATTGGAAGATCGGGGGTGAAATCAGTGATTGGAAGATCGGGGGTGAAATCAGTGATTGGAAGACCAGGAGTGAAATCAGTGATTGGAAGATCGGGGGTGAAATCAGTGATTGGAAGATCGGGGGTGAAATCAGTGATTGGAAGACCAGGAGTGAAATCAGTGATTGGAAGATCGGGGGTGAAATCAGTGATTGGAAGATCGGGGGTGAAATCAGTGATTGGAAGACCAGGAGTGAAATCAGTGATTGGAAGATCGGGGGTGAAATCAGTGATTGGAAGATCGGGGGTGAAATCAGTGATTGGAAGACCAGGAGTGAAATCAGTGATTGGAAGATCGGGGGTGAAATCAGTGATTGGAAGATCGGGGGTGAAATCACTGCTTGGAAGCACATGGAGGCAGACTCTATACGCCCAGTAGTTGTGCACTGCGGCAGGTATGATTGCCTGGAGTGTCATGTGAATCTTAAAGCTCAGCAGTTGAATGTTACCTCTGCCGAGTTACAGCTCCTGCTGCCTGTCTTGGCTCTGTGAGAGCTGCATGCACTTACATAATGCAATGCTGGAGAACCTGCATGAAGGGGTTAACACCTGCTGATGTAATCATTGCGCAGCAAGAACTTGTGCCAAGAAAGCACTTTAGCGTGGTCCGATTCCATCACACACATTAACCCTTGTACCTGCTTAACGAGGCAACACAAAATCAATTAGTGATGAATTACAACACCCACTGCAGGGCTGCGTCCAGGAAAGCCTTACTTACCCCGATATTAATCAGATCAGCCGATATATGTAACTGCAGACAGAATGTATCAATCTGCCAACATTTATTACTAGCTCATAGCTGCCTCGCTTCGAATCCTCCTTGGATCAGGCTTCCATGTCTCGTTCTCATAGTCTGCAGGCTGTTTTACACATGGTGAGCTACAGAGTGAAACAGCTAAACCCAGTGTCCTTCTATCTCCCATCGTTTAACTGGGCAAGGGGTCAAAAAGGTCATAGCTTGTAGCAGCCGTATTCCCATATAGAGATGCTGAGCCTGGCAGGGTCACAACGTGTTCCTCTCAAAACGAATTACAGTATCAACTGCAGAAATGATTCATCTCCCCAATCCTTCTGCTATCAGTAATTAATGGGACATTAGTCCAAGCAGACAGTGACAAACAGGATTATTCACTAACGCGTGCATGTAGGCCAAATCAATACAAACTGGAAACATTCTGGTCCAATCTGGCGTATTTTGGTCTAATATGTGAATTTCAATTTATCCATTACTGAATAACCCTGGTAAGGTTAGGACAGGACAAAATCATGGCTGGATTTCTAATTAGAAAGTTGGTTTATTTTCTAAACAATGGATTTTAAGAAATCAAACAAAAACTACTACTAAAATAACACTAAAAATAACCATTTTAACCTTAAATCTAATACACAGTTTACCTGTAGAAACATTATGTGAATTGAGATCCACATTGCAACGTTCGAGATGATTTTCCTGAGTTTTTTTGGATTAAAATTTGCAATTCCCCACCTGGTTTAGAGAAATGTATCTAAATTCTAAACATACACCTTTAACATAATTATATCGAACAAAAAACTCTACTATATAAAGTATCAATAAAAAGCCATTTTAATATTAAATATAATATATAATGACTTTTTATTAGATCACTCTGTGATTATTCAGGGCAGATGATTTTGTAAGAACCAAGAATACAAGGACAGTCTGCAGACAGAACACACGAAGAAACATAAGACAGTGATAACAGCCCAGCGATAACAGCCTAGCGATAACAGCCCAGTGATAATAACAACCCAGCGATAACAGCCCAGTGATAATAACAACCCAGTGATAACAGCCCAGCGATAACCGCCCAGTGATAACAGCCAAGCGATAACAGCCCAGTGATAACAGCCCAGTGATAATAACAACCCAGTGATAATAACAACCCAGTGATAACAGCCCAGCGATAACAGCCCAGTGATAATAGCCCAGTGATAACAGCCCAGTGATAATAGCAGCCCAGTGATAACAGCCCAGTGATAATAGCAGCCCAGTGATAACAGCCCAGTGATAACAGCCCAGCGATAACAGCCCAGTGATAACAGCCCAGTGATAACAGCCCAGTAACAGCCCAGTGATAACAGCCCAGTGATAACTCAGCAGTGATAACAGCCCAGTGATAACAGCCCAGTGATAACAGCCCAGCCCCAGGGCCAACAGCCCAGTGATAATAGCAGCCCAGTGATAACAGCCCAGTGATACCAGCCCAGTGATACCCCAGCGATAATGGCCCCAGCGATAACCCAGTGATAACAGCCCAGTGATAACAGCCCAGTGATAATAGCAGCCCAGTGATAACAGCCCAGTGATAACAGCCCAGTGATAATAACAGCCCAGTAACAGCCCAGTGATAACAACCTGCTTTACTTTATTTTTCCTTGTTTTCTTTTGTTCCTGTGCTATTTGAAAATAAATGGCCTTATCGTTTTGAAGTTCCCTCTGTGATTTGTGTACCTATTCAACAGTCAAACTCAAGCTGAGGAGCAGAGGAAAGTGATGGAGGGTAACCTTAACGTGTGGAATTATCTATCCCAAACTGCTTTCTATGGCAGTATGCAGGGCCATCTTTAATGTTGATTGGACCCTTGGCAAGCATTAGCTTGGGCCCTCTGGTCCCTGTCTCCCACCTTGTAGCATGCAAACACGCCTTCCACCGAAAGACACACATAAAGAAAACACAAAAAGCACACACACACATAGATCGTAGACTTAGCCACACCTAGAGAAAAAACACAAACTGACACACATACAAATACAAACACTGACACACATGCAGATACACACAGACACACAGGTGCATACACAGATACACTCACTAACAAACATGCAGACACACACAAACACATACAGATACACAGACACAGACAGATACACAAGGGCACACACTGACACACATGCAGGTACACAGACAGACTTAATGAGAAACATTCAGATACACAGGATGACACTCATATAGAGGCAAACATTGACACACACAGATACAGAGGGGCACACACTTACACACATACAGACACACTTAGAGACAGATACACATACAGACTGAGACACATACAGACACACAGATACACACACAGATGTATATACACATACAGACAGATACACAGACAGAAACACACACAAATACGCAAACAGAAAGATACATACAGACACACAGATACACATATAGACAGACACACATGCATATACACATACAGACACACAGGTACATATATAGACAGATACACATGCATGTACACATACAGACAGATATACACACAAACACACATACAGATACACATACAGACAGATATACACACAGATACACAGACACACATGCATATACACATACCAATACACATACAGACAGATACACATACAGACAAACAGATACACATACAGACAGATACACATACACACACACACACAGATAAACAGACACATGTATATACACATACAGACAGATATACACACAGATACACAGACACACATGCATATACACATACAGATACACATACAGACAAACAGATACACAGACAGACAGATACACACACACACACACATAAACAGACACATGCATATACAGACTGATACACACACACACACAGATAAACACACATGCATATACACATACAAACAGATATACAGACATATACACATACAGTCAGAAAAACACAAAGACGGCTACACATGCAGACAGATATGCACACACAAACAGACACACATGGAAAATATACATTTTCAGTCAACCTCCTGTTTCCTACCTTTTGGGTGCAGGAGGGTGACCTCCCTGGGGTCCAGTGACTGTCTGAGGCTGTTGAAAGTTTGTCTCTCTCCCAGTCCACTCTCTTCCTCCCTCCCGCGCGGCACTCCCTGTGCTAGCTAGGAGGAAATTATGGCACTAACTCCTAGCGCTATCGCACTGTTAAAGCGCCACTGGTCGCACTGTTAAAGCGCCACAGCGCTGACCGGGCCCCTGCAGACTCATTGCCATCAAGTGGCCCTAAAAGCATGGGCCACCCTATATGACCCCACCACGGCAGGCTCAAGGGGCAGCTGTTTTGGACCCCATAGGAATGACTGGGCCCAGGGCAGCTGCCCCTTTTGCCCCGCATTAAAGATGGCCCTGGCATTCTGTCATGGGCAGCAAGGGAGTCACAGAGCCTTGTCCATATAAACTCAGTTTTACTGTATGTATTAGTTCCCCATAGCATCGAGTTTCACCATATCCTGGCTGTAGATAGCTTCACAGCTGTGCTGATCACTGGCACACATTTACTGAAGGCGCCATGATTTGGGGCCAAACAGGACTCTCATTCGATAAAGCCACCAGAGAATGCGGCACAAGATCTATTCCTAAGATATATCCAATCAGTCTGAACCGTGACTCAATGAAAAGAGAGTTTGTCAAATACCACTTGGTAATAAGGGGTCCTTTCACCACAGCCTCTCCAGAATGCTATATTGTTATTAGGAAGTGTTTAACAAACCAAAGCATTTTAAGCATGAGGTTGGTGCAGAATTATTGATCTTGGCTTTAATTTAAGCTAGTGGCCGCATCAGATTCCCATTCTCTGAGCTCTTCCTCAATGACATAGCAAGAACTAAACTCTGGATCTGAGTTACTGTTTATATTTTCAAGGGGGGAATCGTCCAGGTTATTCTGTCACATATGATTTCCTGATATTCTGCCAATAAACCCTCCTCATTTTGTGAGATTAGTCCGAATGACCGCAACAATAATTTAATTAATGAACCATTGAATAAGCTCTTAAATTCCTATCCAGAGCAGTCAGGTAACTAAAATGAATAACATCTAGCCAATTAGATACTAACTGTGGGCATTCTAACTTCATAAAGCGCCAACATATACCATAGCACCCATTTAACAGGCATTGGCCATTACACTAAGCAAACATTGATGTCAGGTTAAAATAATCTGTGCATTAATTAAACATCCATCACAAAAATAATATATATATATATCAGGATTTAAATATTGCAGCAGTTATATAAACAGAGTCTAGCTTTTATCGTTCAGTATTTGTAGATTATATAAAACATTGAAATTAGTACATTGTGCACTAAATTGGAGGTTTTTATGTTTAAATACACATTAAGTCAAACATTTAGTATAGATTCCCCAGCTAATGGAGCCCAAATGAGACATGGTGGGTCTGTTTGTATAATTATCATCTATTTCTCTTGGTCATACTACTTATTTACAGATCATTTTAGGATCTGAGATCACAAAACGGATTGAAAGCTCAAAGCAGATGTGCTGGAAGTGGTCCAACTCTTGTACCTTGTCCATTACTGACATTAATTGGATGTACACATTATGCTGTATACCACTATATTTCTAAGGTACTCCGTAACCTCCAGCGGGGTGTAATTAGCAGGTTGGTGCTATTTGCTCTGGGAATATTTTTTAGTACAGAGAAAAATATGCTTTTAATAAAGGGAATTAGTGTTATCCCTCCCATTCAGATTGATACATACTTCAAACACACGACGGTATTGCAGAAATGTCTTTTTATCCACAATACTGTCTGTTTCTGCAAAGAATGACTAATGGACACTGGGACGGGGAGAGACAATGGGTACCAACAGCCTGTGTGATTAGAAAGCTTGTAATGGGGAGCAGATTTAAAGCCTCCTAACTGATAATGCATTATCGCATGTTGCATCTGCCTTATCTTAATAACAGAATAGCAGAGACATCAATTAGATAATAAAATCAAGCTTAATTCTGCAAGTGTCAAACTAAGAGATGTTTTACCTAAAGTGTCACTGACCCCTTTTGGCCTATTTACCATATAAACTTTAAACTTTTGCCCTTGCCTTGTGTCTATGGGCTTGGGCAGTTTGTTACCCCATACAGTGTTACAGTAAACCCCAATACTGACTCACTTTGATTTTATTATTTTTATCTAATTATAAAGCACCAACACGTTCCGCAGCGCTGTACATGGGTACAATTGGTCCAAGCAAAAACACAAAAATGAAATACAGCTGGGATATTACAAAATGCTACAAACGGAGGATTTCGGGGTGCTAGTCCTGTGGGAACTTATAATCTAAATATAAGAAGGTCCTTATTATTTATGTACTAGATAGATAGACTGGAAGACAGGCGAGTGGGCAGATGGTAGTTGGGTGGGTAGATAATTATGAAATTGGGGAACGAGGCCGGTCGGTGGATGTTTAAATAGATCTGGAAATAATTCACTAAACTTTGTGATAGAGTTTCTGCTCACACACAGACTGTAGCGCACCATTTACTTTGTGTTATCTGATTCACCCAGGACGATCCTCTCTGTACAACGTATTTCCCATGTGATACTTTTAATCCATTCTTTGTTTTTGTTTTGTCTCCCAGGCAGGCATGGTAAGTCCTGAGAACCCTGAGCAGCTGATCATTGCTCTCGAGCCTGAAGGAGCTTCTATATACTGCAGGAAGCTCCGTCTTCATCAGATGATTGACCTGAGTACCAAAGCGGCAATCAATGGCTTCAGCCCGACCGACCCAGGTGGGATTTCTACTCACAGCCCTTTCCCGTCACAGTCACTTGATGTAAAGCGTCCCCTTGTCCAGGGAACAATTCCATCAAAAGGATAGTTCCACAAGCAATTCATGTCCATAGAAGGACCATAGTGATGAATAATCTGGAATGGTGATAATTAATAAATAGAGCAATAATGAATTAATTGGATGAAGAAGCACATTTTGTGGAGGGCGAGTTCACCTGATAATTTGTATTTAGTTAGAGGAAGGCGGTCAATTAGTAAATGATTGATGGGAAGGTCACGGTCTGTAAATGCTGATTTTATTAACAGATCCATTTAGAGGAGCAGTAAACAAATCTCGCTATATATTTAATAAACCAATAGATGTTGTTCTGCTGTTCCTGTTTGTCACTTTATTTGTTACTTTTTGTCACTTGTTTTGGGAACCAAATGGTGTTAAAATTCTCCTATCAGAGCAGCACAATATATACATAATATCTATATTTTGCAGTACACTGATTGGCCAATTTTCGCTCCATAATGACTGCATGGATGAAATTAATCAGAAACGCCCCCTGGAGAAATCACGAATAGACAAACCATTTTTTCTTTCAGATGTTATGATTCAGCCAAACCAAACGTTTTTGCCATACACAAGTCTATTAATTAGGAATTGTATAACGTGGCCAGTGACAGTTTTGGGATTGCTCAATGTTGCTGGAAACACAATGTAACAATGTCAGTATAGAGCGTAACTAATTGGAGCTCAGTTATTGATGACACCTAGTGAATCAACATGGTGATATTTGTCATTTCAATTTCGACGTCCCTATCACAAGGCTATGACACATTATTAATATCTGAATAGTTCTGGGTGAATCGGAGCAGGTTCAATGAAAGTAGATAATTGCATGTAATATCTCTTGGATTTTGATCCAGGCAAAATTATGACAACTCGAAAGTCAGGAAACGCTCATAGCCATCCTCTCTTTCTGAGATAGAAAATGCGAAGAGCTCACGTGACAAAAAAGAGTTATAGAGGTCATTTTAAATGTGACTTAAAAACCAACCGTTACACGATAAAGGCTAATGTTTGTAATACTTCTCTGCCACCTAGTGGTCAACATTGCCAATTACTGGAGGAAAAAAACATTTATTATTTTTGAAACCACTCATATTTAAGATGTTTACCGTTATTTTGGGGAACTAATGCTTTTACTCAATTGATGGGAAAAAAATAATAATCTACTTCCATATATTACTGGGTGACACAGAAAATACTACAAGTTGTATATTCTAGTTCTCTTGTAGAGAGCAAGCTTTTAAAGAGATTGGGTTATAAATGACATAAAAAGCTAAACGTATTATAATACAGTGAGTAGCATGTCTGACATGTTTAATAATATAGATATAACTTACTTATGGCTGGAATGACACGGTATGAATGCTTCGCAGCTTGTTACAGATACGACTCAGCGACTTCCAAAACTCTAAGTACCTGAGTCACAAATTAAATGAGCCACCAAAGCCAAACATGTTCGTTTCGATTCATGATTCTGAATGCGACCCATGGTGCCAAAAGAAAAGATAATCAGAAAAAAATGTTTTATGGTTAGGGGACAGTCACGAAATGATGATTTTATTCACAGATCAAGTGGTCAATAGAGAGGAAAAAAAGACAATATATACCTGTATATTATATATTTACTATATATCATATGTTACTATGGATTGTTTGTATTGCCCCTCCTGTTTCCCCTCCATTTGTAACTTTTTCTCACTTGATCTGTGAACCACTTGGCGTAAAAATGCTCCTATCATTCTATTTATATTTTGTATATATGTTACAGTACACTGATTGGCCCATTTGTTCCTCCTTTTCGAGGCACTCCATTCATTTCTAAATTGGGATTTGGTAACGAGATTCTTCTGAGCTGAACTTTCAAATGGTAACATTTTCAGGATAAATGGTTCAGCCAAGCCGAATGTTCTTGCCGTACGCATGTCTATTGTATTGTGTGAAAATGTAGTGACACATCTTCGAATCCATATCCTTAATAAATAATAATAAAGGACTCAATTCTAGATTCAGACTCTGTAAAAATAGTTTAAATGGGATCACTGGACATTTCACCTAATTGGAGTTGCTCAAATTAGGAGAATGATGACTGTGAAGGTTATTTATTAAACGGAGAATTAAAAGTGAATTTCTAATTTAATACCAGAGTAGCCAAACAGGAAACATAGCTGGCTTAAAAAACATTCCTAGTTTTGCTAAGTGGACATTAAATATGAAATTTGCTTTGGATTCACCTAGAATTCACACACTGGCTGTCTTTGTGCATTGACATCTCCAGGGGATTTTCAGAAGCAATGACTTTTGGAGAATACTCACACAGTTATGCGAGAGATACCAGCACTCGTGGTGTAATAGAGATTCCAGTCCTTTTCTTGGAGAATACAGCTTTTATTTGATATCCAGATCGGATATCATTCTCGGGCACAAAGCAAAGAGTAGGGGTCAGCAAAGGGACCTAAAGGAATTCTATGAGCTGGGAATTGCCAGTTTAAAATCTTGTTAGGGAGTAGAATATGTCATCACCCAATTTAGGCACGGTGCAGGAAGCACTTCAAAATGCCACATTCAACAACTAGCCTTTCTCACAGAGAGGCTGACAGATTTAAAGAGGCGAGAAATCAAGAGTAAGTTCCTCTTTTTCAATTCTTCATGCTTGTAATGGCCAGCTGTTCTAGTGAAACCCCTGGTGGACTTCTGTAGACCAAAGAAGACCTGATGATACTTCATAAGACACTTGGAATTTTTATTTTTCAAATATGTATAATCTAATAGTTAAGCAAGTGGTATCAGTATGAGTTGGAGGTTGATGTGAATTCATGCGTAAACTTCTGGGAAATTAAACTGTGAATCTCTTTTTGCATATGACCAGCCAAAGACCATGTACGCCGTAATCGTCAGAGTCGGACCTTCCTGGTTGAAAATGTAATTGGAGAGCTGTGGTCAGAACTCGAGCAAGGTACTGCTATGTCCCGCATCTGCATTCCCAAACCATAGAGATGTCTAATCAATGAATCTTGAGTCCTCAAATTTCAGTGTAGGTCAGCATCTGCCATGAATTTATATTCTTGCTCTAAAAATGAGCCCAGTTGTCCATGATGTCACCCAGGAAATAGGAGTTTTCTGTAGTTTAATATGAGCATTGCAGGTTAATAAAGAATGACCGGGCCAGCTGTAGCTCTGAGAACCAAATTTGTGTTATCTGTCATCTCTACTTAGATGGTGTCGCTAACACTATAGTAATTTCTATTATGGTAAAAGGACATGTGGATCTGCAATGGGTGAGATTACTTTTAGCTCTCTGATTGCCGAAGATGAGTAATTTATTGCAAAACTCTGTATGTCTGTAGCTTCTAGTATCTAAGTATGAGCCGTGTTTGTTTAATTACAGTAATTCATTTTAAATATGTTTCCAGCACTGAATTTAACACCCCCTTTATACAAGTTGTTATTACCGCCATGTGGCTTTTTATATAACCTATATCTCACCAGTTTTTTAGGTTTAATTGCTCACCATCCTTTGCCATTATAACAAATAATAACCTATGGATCCCTTTCCTTGCAGGAATTTACCGGTATGTCTAGAAAACCCAATGTGCATAATTTCAAACTTGTTTGCATCAAATTGCAGTCTCTATAAAGGTCAATAACATGGAGAGAAGCTACATTTCAGTCCAGTTTTAGCACAGAGCAGTCTTTCTTAAATAGTTTCTCTAATAAAGAACGAGTGCAAAGTTGGAGAGCAGAAGTTATTGTTTCAATTTGCATACCACTGTTGCAAAGAAGTGTATCACTTGGCTCTGTTTTCTCTGTCTTAGGGGATCGTTATGTTGTTGTTGACTGTGGTGGGGGCACGGTGGATCTAACCGTCCACCAGATAAACTTACCTGAAGGACACCTCAAAGAACTCTACAAGGCATCAGGTAGGTTGTATGACGTCACTGGGTTTATCTTGAATACTTTGTAGTCTAAATCGTGTTGTTTTGTTGTTATGAAAACCGTTTAAATTATTTTTCGATACAGGTGGACCTTATGGGTCTCTTGGGGTTGACTACGAATTTGAGAAGCTGCTTTGCAAGATATTTGGAGATGATTTTGTTGACCAGTTCAAAGTGAAGCGTCCTGCTGCATGGGTGGATCTGATGATTGCTTTTGAGTCTAGAAAAAGAGCTGCAGCCCCAGACAGAACCAATCCGCTAAACATTACCTTGCCTTTCTCGTTTATCGATTACTACAAGAAGTTCCGAGGTCACAGCGTGGAGCATGCTTTGCGCAAAAGCAAGTTAGTATGCTGTGTGTATATGTCATGTGAGTGTGAGTACACCCCAGGATTGCTGTAAGAGTGGGCGCTCCATTCTGTAATGCAATATGCACGCTGTGTGCTATGCATTATGGGGCCTTGTAGAAGTGATATAGAGACATACCAGCTGGTACCTGAATGCAGTCTTACAGGAACATATAACATTAAATAAATAAATTTTCTGCTGTGAGAATAACAGATTAAGCAGTTCTACACAAATATGCGTATTCAAAAATAAATAAAATATTCTAAAACACTGGATTACAGGGAATATTTCCTGCAGCATTCAAGGAAAACTGGCTAAAATTGGAAAAGGATATGCAATATACATTCATTTAAAAAAATACAGATATTTAAATCTTTCACTCCATGAAAGAAACAGTACTTTATACACACATTCAGTTTTTATTTGCTGCCGGTTTTGACTTTGTGGTGATGTGAAATAAAAGGGTTATTCACAGTGACGGTAGGAGGATTGTGCCAATTTTGGGGGGTAATTATCATAGAACCTAGGTCAATTAAGGTCACCCAAAAGGTTCATCCTTCCAGGGGAAGAATTCAGTGGAATCTCTTGTGGAATTAGGTGAGTTTAATTTTAGACTGTAAACCCTTTATATTCCTGTTAGATTTGACATATGTCAACCTTGTTTTATCATTTGTTCATATTTGCAAAAAGTAAATTGAATCTGTAATTCTGTTTAACTCCTTCCTGATGAGATATCAGACTAATCTTATTCCATAACGCCATGTGTAGCAAGCCGTCGGTAATGAAGAGGTTAAAGCTGTACAGTAATGACGTGTTGTGTTACGCTGTTCTTCTCATTCAGTGTAGACTTTGTGAAGTGGTCTTCCCAAGGAATGCTAAGGATGAATCCAGACGCCATGAATGCTCTTTTCAAGCCCACCGTAGACCACATCATTGAACATCTAAGTAAGAACGGCAGAATTTAAAGCAGCCTTTTAATACATGACATTTAACGCAGCTCTGTTAAAACAATATTTCCTTTGAGTATATATATATAGATAGAGTCTTTATACAGGGGCACAAGTTACAGAAATGCCTGGGGCGTGATCCCAAAGCAAACTTCAATGACCCCTACACTGACAGATGTAGGAACAGGTCATGGCATGTCCCATTCTCTTATCAGATGAACTGCTTATGCTTTCCATGAATTGAATAAAATAAAAACAAATGTTAAAAATAATACAGCCATGTGGGGTCAGGCCTGGTACAAGACTATTTTGCTTTTTCCCTTTCCCCAGCCCCTCTATGTGTCTCTTCCCTCCCAGCACCTTTGTTGGTCTCATTCTCCCACAAAGGTGTCTTTTTCTCCCCCAACTCCTTTGTGTGTCTCTTTTTCCCCTTCCTCAGCACCTCTTTTTGTCCCCCCCAGAACTTTAGTGGGACTTTTTGTCCCCTTCTATGCCTCTTTCCCCAGCACCTTTGTGGGTCTCTTTCTCCCCCCAGCACTTTTGTGCGTCTCTCTTCTCTCCAAAGCCCCTATGTGTGCCTCTCCCCCTTCAGCCCTCTGTGTGCCTCTGTCTCCCTTAGCTCTGAGTGCCTCTCCTCTCTAACCCGTCTACTTTGTGGTCCCCCCCCAACTCCCCATTCGTGCATACTCTCCTTCCACCTCCTGTGAAAAGTGGCCGACCCACAGGCCGCAGTGGAGTTGCTCATGTTCCCTCTAGCCTCTATTCTCAATGAGCACTTCCTGTTAGACCTGGTAGGGAATATTGAAGCTTCTCTACCATGCATGCAGTGGCCAGCAGGGTAACGCTGTGCTGTGTGCTCCCCTCCTGCTGGTCATCCGGAGACTGCACCCACCGGGCTGGGGTGCCCTATGTGGCTACCTAACCCACCTAGCAGTTGCGCCAACTCAATGTGGGGTTGAGGATCGGGCATCTAACTAATCACAGGGTACTGAAGGCTCTTCTCGCTCCCTGAGCTAAAGAAAACAACTGCTTCTGCTTTATTTTTATCTTTTATTTTTCTTTGGGGCTTGTTCTCACCAGATAAATACCAGAAATCATGTCCTACTTTAGTAGATATACCCCCATGTCTGTGTTATTTTGAACATTACCATGACAACAATAAGCACAACTTGTTTTGACTAAATTAAATATTGGCAAATTCAGAAGAAATGTCTTGTTGGGATTTGCTCATATCAGGCCCTTTCTTTAATGTCTGTATAACTATAACTGTTTTAGACGTGGGCGCTCACCGTACTATATGGAGTGTGACTGTAAATCTATATAAGACATTTATTTAATTATTACTCATGGACTTGTTTACTAAATAGTGAAATTACTCCATGTTAACTGAATTGGAAACCACCACATCTATTTTAATGTCCATTTTGAATTTATTTACATTAACTTAAAAGTGTAATTTAGACCTTACGTTAATAAACTTTCTAAATTATTCAATACTGTTAGAAATCCCTACCAAATGAGTAATCTACAACAACCCTATAGAGTATAATCGTGACTTCTGTAAATCATTTGGTACGTTTTTCTAACAGTACTGAAACAGTTTGAAAAAAAGTTGTTTTCGTGATTATAGTGTCTCTAATTATATATAATATTTGCAATTAATAAAACAAATAATGAAAGGGACTCTACAGTTACCAAAACAAATTTAGCTAGTCTCACTTCTCGATTCTCTGCCATTTAGGGGTCAAATCACTTTGTTCCTGCAGCCCTAGTCATGCCTCCCTGCATGTGGCCTTCCAAATACTTCCTGTAAAGAGTCATCTAATGTTTACACTTCCTTTATTGCAAATTCTGTTTTATTTTGAGTTTATCTCCTGCTCTGTTAATACGCTTGCTAGACCTTGCAGGAGATTAAAGTTAAATTTACAGAGCAAGAGTTAAACAATTCTAAAGTAAGTTATCATCTGATTGAATATGAAACCATATTGTTTTCACGCAGGCTGTCTCAGTCATAGCCAGGGAAGGTGTGGCTAGGGCTGCTTAAAGAGAAACAGAAGTTATTTAACTCCTAAATTGAACAGAGACACTGCAGGGGCATGATTTATACACCAAAACTGCTTCATTACGCTAAAGTTGTTTTGGTGACTATAATGTCACTTTAACCTGTTCTGTGATTGTGTTTGGCGTTTCATATTTTTACCTTTTTTAAATTTAGATATGTTTATGGACATTTTTAGCATGTGATACTAAGATAATGATGTATATTTGTAAAGTAGTGTCTAGTAAAACTGTATATTTCTCTCACAGCAAATCTCTTTCAGAAGCCAGAGGTGTCTGGCGTTAAGTTTCTATTCCTGGTGGGTGGATTTGCAGAGTCCCCGTTGCTTCAACAGGCTGTTCAACAGGCATTTGGAGACCAGTGTCGTGTCATAATTCCCCACGATGTAGGATTAACTATCCTAAAAGGCGCTGTCTTGTTTGGTCTTGATCCTGGCGTGATCAAGGTACGACGCTCTCCAATGACCTACGGGGTTGGTGTATTAAATCGGTATGTGGAAGGCAAGCACCCACCAGAAAAGCTTCTACTGAAGGATGGAACCCGGTGGTGCACTGATGTCCTAGATAAATTTATCTTAGCTGATCAGTCAGTGGCTCTTGGTGAAACAGTGAAACGGAGTTACACTCCTGCTAAACCTTCACAGCTAATGATCATCATCAACATCTACAGCTCAGAACGCGATGATGTCAATTTTCTTACGGATCCTGGAGTTAAAAAATGTGGCACACTCAGACTGGATCTGACAGGCAGTGAAGGCTCACCAATTCTGAACCGCCGAGAGATACAGACCATCATGCAGTTTGGAGATACTGAGATCAAAGTCATGGCAGTTGACATTGCCACATCTAAAAGTGTAAAAGTCTGCATTGATTTCTTGAATTAGAATGTCTTTCAAATTACACATTGATGTCCACTCTTACAACGTCCAATGTGCGTTCTCCAAGAGCCACTAAGCCAAGCTCCCGGTAGTTTGGAACCTAGTCCTATTTAGAGAACTTTAATCTGTATGTTGCAATTATATATTGGGGTAAAAAAAAGGGAAAGTTAAATCAAAATTACAAAATTGATCTTGAAAATGAATTTTACTATTTCTAAAAAAATGTATTTCTTCTCCCAAACAATGACTGGTGTCAGCCCAACGTATTATACAGAGCATCCGAGCTCATCACTGATACCTAGAGTAATCTTGTTGGTCCTTACTTTATGTCACCTCCTTCTTTCCATACAGAGCGAGGGGGCACAGTTAGAGAAACACTGCCAGTTTCATCCTTTTCTCCTAAGCATGAGGTTGAAATCCTTTTTCTTCCTTTGAATCCCCTTATAAGCAAAATCTGAGCCTGTCAGAAGTTTTACTGAACTTGGGTTTTGGTGATATCATTGTTTAAGGCTTGAATGTTTATTTTTTAGGAAACAAGAACATTGAGAGTACAGTTCTGGAATACTTTGGCCTCAGTTTGACCGCCGTTGTAATGCCATACAAGGTTAATGCATTTACAAAACTGCAAAAAATATCTGATTGTTGTTGGCTGTAAATTTGCAGCTTATGCAGTGGTACATTTTTCTGCCAAATATGGTCCTCCATTTTCAATGGAAATATGGTGCATATCCTATAAATTCCTGCCTACCACTTGCCAGTAGTTTTATTCATAAAAAGGTAATTGGCTAATAAAAGCTGCAGCAGGTGCATACATGGTTTTTCACGGTTGACGCTATTAGCAGGTTCACACATGGTTTTTCATGGTTGAAGCTATTAGCAGGTTCATACATGGTTTTTCATGGTTGAAGCTATTAGCAGGTTCAAACATGGTTTTTCATGGTTGAAGCTATTAGCAGGTTCATACATGGTTTTTCATGGTTGAAGCTATTAGCAGGTTCATACATGGTTTTTCATGGTTGAAGCTATTAGCAGGTTCATACATGGTTTTTCATGGTTGACGCTATTAGCAGGTTCATACATGGTTTTTCATGGTTGAAGCTATTAGCAGGTTCATACATGGTTTTTCATGGATGAAGCTATTAGCAGGTTCATACATGGTTTTTCACGGTTGACGCTATTAGCAGGTTCATACATGGTTTTTCATGGTTGACGCTATTAGCAGGTTCATACATGGTTTTTCATGGTTGAAGCTATTAGCAGGTTCATACATGGTTTTTCATGGTTGAAGCTATTAGCAGGTTCATACATGGTTTTTCATGGTTGAAGCTATTAGCAGGTTCATACATGGTTTTTCACGGTTGACGCTATTAGCAGGTTCATACATGGTTTTTCACGGTTGACGCTATTAGCAGGTTCATACATGGTTTTTCATGGATGAAGCTATTAGCAGGTTCATACATGGTTTTTCATGGTTGAAGCTATTAGCAGGTTCATACATGGTTTTTCATGGATGAAGCTATTAGCAGGTTCATACATGGTTTTTCATGGTTGAAGCTATTAGCTGCTGCAGTACAAACTGACTCATACAAAGTTATGGAAAAGTTTGTACATTTAAAGAGGACTTATTCCTAGGGGAAACATAGTTATATAATATGTAACTACAGTTATCTTCTCACGGTGTAGCTGAAATTCCAGCAGACACAGGATCAAGGGACAGACATACGTGGAACATGGACAGTTGTGGTATGTGTCATTTTATTGACACATCAAAAATGAAACACCCAAATAATTGTTATGTGTTCAAAGTGGACCTGACATATGCAAAGTCCAGGGTAGACCAGAAGAGATTTGTTTTAATTAAAAAAAAGATGGGAATCCTGAGATGAGCTGGCCAGTCCATGAATAAGTGATTTTCATCTGATATGATCACTCAAATAAAGAGATAATCAATCTCATGAAAGGTTGGCGAGCACTATAATTTTTAGGTGGAGGGGTGGAATTCCAATATATTCTGCTGTGTGCCTTTACCTATAGCTGTAGAACTCTGTTATCTTTTTTCCTTAAAAATGTGAAACAAAAAATGACCTTAAAATAGCCCTTATAGTAATGATGTCAAAATTGTGAAGAATTGCAAGGAATTAATCTAAGGCTTGTTGACACCTTTCAAATATCTCCTGGGCTTGGTCAGTAGACTCCATTTCTCTGACTGTAATAGATTCCAAATAAAGAGCGGGGAGTTTTAGTTCCTCCACTTTATTAAAAAATAACATTATTCGTTTAATTCCCTCCTCCCCATGTTTATAATACAGCTGATTTATGAGACTCTCACAGGTTGAATTATTTCAGACATTTAGTATATTGATAGCGACTTGGATTCAAACCCGATGTTTTGGCTCAGAGAGCATATTCCACCCTTAGAGTGGGATACCATCTTAAAATATTGGCCATGCCATAAAAAAAAACCTAGAAAAACAAATAAATGTATTAAACATAGTTTGAGTGTTAAACTAATAAGCAATACAATACGATATCTGGAGGTATGTGGCTTACCACGGTTTGTCTCCAGATTATATAAAGTGGCAAAAAGGTAAAAAAATAAACTAAAATATTACAGACACTTACCTGGTTTAAGTCACTAGAGTGGACCCCATCAGAACTGACACTAGTTTAAGCCTCAGCTGATACGTTCAATATGCATGTTTTATATAGTAACGGCAAACCATTGCTCACAGCTACACTACGGCATGACGCTTCCAGGTAGCGTACCCCTTGGCCATATCTACTCACAATGTGCCCTTCTTGGCCCTCGATGTGCTTATGAATGTTAATTACTGAAGCACATCGGGTCCATAGAAAAATGATGGATGTGTTTTAGGAACAGAATGCTTGTTGGTTTTACACGATTTGCTTAGAGCGTAACCCCCGCAAATGCTTCTATCATGAAATGGCTATTACACCAAACACTGTTTAAGGGAACTAGCAGATAATTAAACACAGTATAATTGTTTATTTTTTAATTACCTCAGATAGGCTTCAATTAAGCAAATTCAGTAATATTTCTTTTTTTTTTCTTTTTTCTAATTTTAGTCCCTTGGTAAATAAATGAAAGTTAAGATGTAGGTATGAGCCTAGATGGTGATATTTACAAAAGGATAAACCTGGTTTTAGACAAATTATCCACTGGGCGGATCTATTAGCCTAATGCGCTGATATATTGATCATGTGAAATGCAATATCAGGGGCAAGCGGGTTTCCCAACCATCTATCTTGTAACCAGGAGCCGTTTTGCTTCCTAAGTTCGCTTCTTTTAAATATAAATTTCTAATTATTAAATTACTTTAAAAATGTTGTATAAATAAAAATGAATGTTCATTGTTGACTCTTTATTTATGCGTTGGAGAACTAAATTGGTGGCCACCCCATCATTTCTTCTGACATGTCTTTTATATATAAAAAGCTTTGTACCTGTACTCACACACTATTACACTTACTGTAATAAATCATTGTTATTTTATTCATCTGCATCGTTTTCCTTTAAGGAAATTGTTTTGTTAATTAAGTAAATGAAACCTTGTTATACTCCTGTTACTTTGCCCATCTTCTTTAATTCAATGTTTAATGACTTGGAATATCTGCAACTTAATTATTTATCAGTTTTTAAACGCAGTCTGAATCGTTGCAATTTCAATTTTTGTTGCCTTCTCATTCTCTGATTTACGTTTCGTTATACTACATCAAAATCATAAAGAAAAAAATAGGAGTTTTATTTGCTGAACACCAAATTTTTCAGCCAGATTCACTCTGGATAATCCGGCTGATCAAAATGAATTCCCGGCATTTCCTATATTTACAACATTTCTTCGTTGCCAGCACAACCTAATTTCCAGGCTGGTGGCCACCAACTATGTCACTGAAATGGAATATTTGGCTGTATATTTCAATGATTTGACTCCAGATTTTGAAAAGTTGTAGGTCAAAATCCACTCTCCATTAAAGTTAATTCTGTCTGTATTGAACACAGTGAGAGCCAGAGATGTGAATGGAGAGAAATTTCGGTTTAGTTGAATAATTTTTCCGAAGTTAGAAAATGTTTTGGGACACCCGCAATTCGGTCAGATATTAGTTTGCCCGAATGTTGATTCAGAAACTAAATACAAATAATCAAGTCACAAAGGGGCGTGATAATCTGCCAGTCAGTGTGCTGTAAAATATTATAGGGCAGAATTTAGACCACCCCCTGAAAGTGGTTGGCGTTTGGTGTTTTGGTCTGTCCGTAATTTGAATATATATTTCTGCTTGAATTTAAGAATTCTGCAGAATACCCAATTGACCCAAGTTCGGCCAAATTGCAGTTTGGTCCGAAATTAATCTCCAAGTTTAGTCAGATCAATGTCTGCATTTTGTGGTCCAAGTGCCTCGGATGATACCAGTTTATTATAATATTCCAGACTGGAGACATCTGGAGTTTAGTAAATAAACACAAATGACAGATAATCCTAATTCAATTTCACTATTTATATCGTAAAAACCCCATTATCCTTATTCAATTAGGTATCTCAGTCTTGCAAAATAACGTGTTCCTGCAATAAATACTTTCTCGTTTGTCTCAAATCACTAAGTGTTTGTCTTTCGATTCCTTGTCAGTAAGATCAGATATTACTTTATGTATGTTTGTGTACATGCACTATTTAAAATTGTACAGAAATGTTTGTTTCAATTAAATCATATACGCTGTCTTTTTTTAACTTGAAATCCTTTATTCCTTTGAGTTCTTATCAATGTATATTTTTATCTGTTTCTTATACATTTGCTGTTTTTGTGTGAAACCTCAGGCTTCCTATTTCAGAATTGATCGAAAGAGCGTTTATACCCTCCAGGTGATGTTGAGCAATAAGTACTGCTGTAAGTCCCACCAGTTTGATAACTATATTCTACGGAGTTAAATAATATTAACTCAATACATGTATTATATATTGTATACACGTTATTGAATAGAAAACAAGTCCAGAACTTGGCAGCAGGGGGCTCCTGTGAGTAATTGTTTTTTCCTGAGTCCTCTGTTTTTTATTCAATAACATTTAGACTAAACATGGTACAAACATGGTATTAATATCAGTCAAAATGGAAAACATTTAATTGGACATATTATTAACATTACATCTCTTCTTTGAGTTTCAAATCAAACTTTGGTTTTATGTTTACACTCCAATATGTTGTTAAATGTTTGTTTTAATAACGCAAACTTCACTCAGAGCCTGTAAATAATTTGTGTGGAGCTGCATTACGTATCTGCAAATCAATAAAAACGGAAAACGATGTCAAACGCATTGTATGTGGTCGTGTTGTTTTATTTTAATGGCTGTCTTGTGGGGATTCCATATGTAGCCTTGATGGTTTTTACCTTTCTTTATCTCACAATTTCTTCAACACCTTCCCTCCAAACTGCATGTATTTAGCTTCACTCACACACTAAGCTCATTACAAGGATTCTTCATAGCTGGAATAGCAATCTGCAACACCATGTATTTTCCAAATGATTGATCTAATGGTACATATTGTATGAAGCAGCATTGAAGGGACACAACCCCAAAGCAACATTAGCTTAATAAAGTAGTTTTGGTGCCTAGATCATGCCCACACAGATTCCCTACACACTTCCTGAAAAAAAGAGTCTAATATTTTTAGCTTTCACACTGTGTTTACATTAGAATTTCTTATCTCTTGCTATGTTACTTGCCTGCCGCGGCCTCCTGTCTGAGATTAAAATTACATTTTCAGAGCAGGAGACGAGAACTTCTAAAGCAAATACAAAGTGCCGTCACATCTGATTGTCAATGAAGCTATTTTTTTGAATGCAGGTTGTGTCAGTCACAGCCAAAGGAGGTGTGGCTAGGGCTGCATAAACAGAAATAAAAGTGATTTAACTCCTAAATGACAGAGAATTGAGCAGGGAGGCTGCAGGGACATGATCTATACACAAACACTGGTGTTTAGAGAAGTTTGTTTTCCAATAAGACAGTAAACACTTGATCACCATGTGATCTATAAATATTTCAAACTACCAAACCATAATGAAAGAGAGAGTAGAATGGTATTTCTGATTGTAAAATATTACAGAGAGCAGATTATCAAGAAAATGTTTTCTATGCCCTACTATATTTCTGTAAATTATTAATGAATACCTTAATAATTCAAATTGTGTACAGTGACATCATTTTCATTTATAATAATCCATAACAGAAAAGGACGTTACTGTTTTATCTAATTAGGTTATGGGTAGGAGTCGTGAGTCCCATGTTTCAATGTTATCCAATTTTATTTTATTTTAATGGAAATACGTTTTCAGTGTTAATATTCAGAGATATTTTTAAGTTATTTTATTATTCTCAGGATAAAACATACTGTGCGTCTGTCCTTTGGAGTCCCAAGCTCTCGATCTTGTTAGAAAGCATTGCATGTCCTCAGCAATCAGCGTACCTTTGTGGTTTTATATTCAGTGCATGTTAACCCCTAATGTTCCCAACTTTACATTGATACATAATATAAAGAACATTGTGTATTACCGGCATTTATTTCAGAATGAATCCTGTACAGAAAACAGCTGAAGACAATTGATACCCTAATGACATGTTGCCCATGTTGTTACAGTTTCTCATAGATGAACCTTTTCCTGGTCAGTAGAACGCATTGTATCTGTTCACTGGAATCCATTCCGAGGTCACAGATATCAGTAAGTCCTCAGTATTGGTCAGTGAAGTCTATATTCTGACCGTCCCACAGATACACTTGGTATTAATTTTAAAAAAAGTCCAGTTTTTGGTCTACAGGTTCTATAGATCTCTTCTCCTAAACAGATGTAACTTTGTAACATGCAATGCATTTTGGTACATTGATTTGGTACATTAATCGTGTTTTAAGGGGCAGTGAATTTATATCCATTTTATAAGCCCAATCTCTTAAATTACCTCTTTAAAACATGGAGATTTTCAGAGTTTTTCGTTTTAGTTCATTTTTATCAGATCCTTCATACCAATAGATTTTGAGCTATATATTGTCTACACCTTTACAGTGGCTCGTAAAACTGGCAAAATCTTTTCAAACTATGGCCGAACATTAAAGCTGAACTTTAATTTAGTTTCTGATAAATGCAATCCGTTGGTGTCTGCCTCTCTACAGGTCCTCAATTGAAGGAAATACCTTCTACTACTGTGATATGTTCCAGTGCCCCAGGTTATTGTGCATGTTGATCATCACATAAGAAATATAAAATACATGTCTCTTTGCTTATCTTCCACTAGACCTCAGGGCAGCCCTCCGTGTGAAATGAAATGAGGACATTTGTAAAAAGTACAAAGCAATGGGGCCCCTGAAATATTGAACAATGACATTTTCCATAGCTAAATCACCTACTGCTCCTCTATTTTATTTAAATCAGAGATATTCTTTTCAAAGTCACCCATGCATGACGGGTTAGGAGTCTCTCAGACTGGATGAATTGCCTCATCTGATACAGTGAGAATTCTTATCTGTATAGCTCAATATGTAAGTTGGACCTTCTGCCCACAGCTGACAATTCAGAGCTTCACTTCTCACAGTGGTCCTCTAACTAGTCTGGAACAAAGGAAAAAAAGTGGAGAATCTCTACATCCGGGAGCATTGAGAATGCTTGAAAGCTTTGTTTTGAGGACCAGTCATGTAAATGACATTCTAGAAGAGCAGAAAGGAAGCTGTGGGATGTAACTTAGTTCTTAGAGATATTTCAAGGGACACTCCAGACCCCTAAAACACTTTATCTTACGGAAAAAATGCAAGTGTGTATAATGTGCACTATTTTTATAATTTTGCAAAAAGTGCAAATTTCAAAGGGGCACTTTTATTGTTATTGTTTCACCCCCTGGCTGTCAATCAGTCCTGTTACTTCCTGGGTATTTAACTCAGCAGAGAGGCAGCAGTTGTCCAGAGCACCTGCCTTGCAAAGACTTCACATTGATTTGCATTGGTAAGTCTGTAATTGGACAGCCACAGAAAGTCTGGGCTGGGTAAGAAGGGGAGGGCTTGCAAAGGCTGCAGACAAGAGAACTGCTGGTTTTGCAAGCTGTTTTTGGATACTGAACTTCTGTGGTTTCTCATGAACAATTCTGTCATGATATTGCCATCATTTAGGGAGAGAAGGATAATAAATATTCCCCTGTTCTGAATTAAACCCTTTGCCACCAATGAGCCCCCACTCCATGCCCTTGATCAGCAAGCAGGAAATAAAGAGACAAAAAATAAACACTCAGGTACCTGACAAGGGTACTTTGAAATTTGGGGTGGGGGAGCACTTGCCCTAATGTTCTCCCCCTGGGTCCATGTCTGGTTCCTGCAGTTTTCTGGTTCTATGTAAATTACAGGATTTATGTTTAGGAAGCAGCAGATTGCCTTTTTAAATATACATAAAAAGATAAATAAAAACAAATGGCATTGTGACAGAACACCCTGTCACTGGAGTACAGTTTTCTCTTTTCATTCCTTGTTTGTTCATTAAAAAAAAATACATTTTTTCACGTTTTGTTCGGTAACCGAACAAAACCACGAAATACCCAGACCACCTGTATCCTTGTTAACCTCATTCACACCTGTTCACACCTCAATAATGTTTCACATCTCCATTCTAAACGTTCGGCTGGGTGGCCGCCGTTCGTATGTGCAAACGCTTGGTGCTGGACATTTTATTCCCTCCAATGCAGGTCATTGAGTGCATGGAAATAAAATTGGACACTCAACCTTGCGAACACCGCTGATCTTCCATCCCCGTCTGCGTTTGTTTTTATAAATCCTGGAAGAACACAGTTCGGTGGAATCATCCCCATGAATGAAGTGAACACTATCTGCCGACCGTCTCAAGCATACGTTCGGTATTTTGTGTGTTTTCATACTCCCAAAAGAGTCGCTACCACTGATTCTGTGGAGCTATTGTGGGCAGGAGCCTCGTGTGCGGTTGGTCAAAACCTTACCCGGTGGCGTTACGACTTTATTGTGGGATCTGACTCACTTTTTGGATATATATATATATGTATATATATAGATCCAGGCTACCCAGGGATATAGGGCCTGAGGGGATACATGGCTGTTTGCTGTGTGTTTTGGGGTGTTATAGAAATTGTAGATTTTCTGTACCTGAGAGGGAACTGAATTCTGTCTCCAACACAGAGGATCATGGGAGGGATGACCCTGTAATGTTGTGTTGGAAATCCCTTGCAGGAGGCTTTTGTATAAAAGTCCATGTGTGGCTCTGAATAAAACTGTTCACTCCCAGCATTCCGTCTTGACTAATGTCTGTGGGGTAAAGCTGCTCTGAAGTTTTACTACTTGGGAAATTCTACTCTTGATTGCTATTATTAATAGAGTGGCTGCAGCAGAGTTCTAGAGAGAGGGAAAAGACATTCTTGGTGGTGAAACCCGTGTTCCTATCTGGGTGGTCGTCACAGGCATGTTTTGCAGAGCAGGGATTTGTATAATAAAATTAGACAATATCAGGTGACAACGAATAAGTTAATATGTTTTATCACACACAGCAAACACAAACGCATATCGAGTGCTCTCAGCGTGAATGGGCAATCATAAATACTATTGAGCAGAGTGGTAATTGACAGTAAGTGTTTTTACAATATAGATGTGAGAGCACCATCCTTCAGACTTTCAATAAATAAAACAGAATGATGAGTCGAATGAACTTGTGTCCTTGAATTAATCTCAATATAGCAAACAATTTATCGTATACATTGTATTTGCCAGTTTACAATATATCCATACACACATCAAGAGATATTTGTGTGTGTGCTGGTAATAATTTATCTCAATGTATCAATTAAAAATCACTTCTGGTTCACGGATGTTTATTCTTTAAACTTGGATATAATGTAATGATTTCCATATTGATTTCCATTTAGGTCCGTCACTTCCATCGGAGAACAACAAACTTCAGACATGAAGCAAGCAGGGTTCTTGAAACTCCAATCACACTTTACTATTCTAAAGTCTATAAGGCGGTATAAGTAAAAAACCTACACCTATAAGTGGAGCGCTGAAAGGATGAGGTGGTGCACTTACCCCACGTAGCTTGATATCAAACTTGGTATGTAGGACAAGTGAAAATAAAATAAAAACTCAATACAGGCAGATGGTACGTCAAATAGAATCAGATAAAATGGTGGTGAAGTGGAACACTCACATTTAAAGGAGCCTGTGGATGAACACTGGCTCCATAATCAGGCTTGATGTGCAGTCTGTTTCAAATCATGTGAAAGGTGAAAAAAGTAAAAATAATTATAAATATTTAAAGACT